TTGAGCAATGTCTTTTTTTTTTTTTTACATAGCTTTTAAAGCCACCAACCTCTTTGTATGTGTGGAGTGTTATTTGAAGTTCAAGTCTCAAAAAGAAATCTGTGTTCAGTGGGGTTTACTCCATAGCAAACGTATATTTTGGATGCAGTCCCTTTCACACTTTTCTAGTAGCAAGTCTAGCTGAACACAGAGGGCAGGTTCACACATAAAGAGAAGCCAGGGTGAAAATCACCATGACATGGCTTGTCTTTACATGTGAACCCAGCAGGGTTGGTGAAGCATGGTAAGGATGGTCTCTGTGAAATCACAGAGAGAAACAATAGCTTGTTATATGGTTTCCATGCTTCACCACTGCTTGTTGCCATAGCTGAACTGAGTTTCCATGTTTCTGCCGGTGATTTTTGTGGCAAGAGCAACCGTGTGTTCCAGCATGCATTCTCTGCTATGCAGGTCGGCCCAGCAACTGCTGAGGTGGGTACTGCTGAGCTATGACTGGCCGCTCCTGCCTCCCTTTCATCTCTGTTCCCTGCCTTTCCAACACACACCTGCAGCTTTGGGATGTGGGTGGCAACAGGCATCATGCTGTGCCACCTCCAGGAGCATCAACCTTAGAGGTGGCCATGCTTGGCACTCCTGTCTAGTCACTGTAATTTACTCAAGCAGTGCTTTGAAATTTCTGTGCCCTTACTCTGCTCTTAGAGTAAGCATTCTCCTCTTGTGAAAGTTGCCCTATGCAAGAGGCATCAGCAACAGGGCATTTGCTCTGTCCATGTTTGCTCCCCTGCCTATTGCCCTCCACTCTGTTCCAGTCTTGTCCCTGACCTTCCTTGGGTCTGTCAACAAGCCCCACTGTCCACTACCCATCCCCGCCACAGCCAGCCAGCTGAGAAACTTTCCCAGGCAAATGCCCACACAAACCACAACCGCGGGCATATTTAGCATTACATGTGAATGCAGCCAGTCATTTCTCTTTTCTGCTGTTTCTATTTCACTTTCTTGGGTGACATTCCCAAGTGTATTGGCACTCACCCACATCACAATTTTATTTAATGGGAAGACTATAATAAAACAAACTCCTACCTATCCTCATTATTTTCTGTTCATGCTTCATCTTTTCTGAGTTCTTCTGACAATCATTTTTACAAGCCAACAGACTACATCTTCAATTTCACAGATACATCCTGATTTGTATTGCAGCTCTTTACTACTGAAATGATTTATTTCTTGATCCTTGGCTATCTCTCTCTGCTTTTTATTTTAGACACTTGTATTAAAATTTGGTTATAATATAAAATATGAATATTTATTTTACCTGTTTGTAATCCACCCAAATAATGTCTATTGGATGGATTAAAAATATCAATTAAATCAATCAATAAATATTATATCTTCGTTCTTGCATTTTGAATTGAGTTCCACCTTTACCCTTTACTTCCTCTTCTCCTTCTCTGTATTCTAATCTCTCTCTCGATCATGAACCAGCATACAAGACATGTCCTAAAACACGCACACATATTTTACAGTTCTTATCAATATTAGGTGTCTTAGAAATACTTTTAAATGCTAAAAATGAAGATTTCAGCTAAAATTTTTGTTATGCTATGATCTGAATTTCAGAACCTATCTTGTCCATAACACCTGCAGTGCCCTACACTATATTTCTACTATGCCAAATTTCTGCTCTCTATCTATCCATGTTTCCTGTTGTTGGATGCATTCTTTTCTCTGTATATGCTCTGCTCATGGCTTGGTCAGTGGTGCTGATGTAATAAAGCAGCACAATACTTTTACCGGTGACTTCTGCTAACATTATTTCTGCCAACACTTCTGCTAACGTTATTTCTGCTAACATTATCCATTATTTATTATATATTATACCCTTTTCTTACAAGGAACCTAAGGCAGCTTGCGTAATGCTCCTCCGCATTTTATTCTCACAACACCTCTGTGAAGTAGATTAAAATGAGAGTCATGGCTGGCCAAGAGTCACCCAGCAAGCTTCATGGCTGAATAGACACTAGCATTTGATCTCCTGAACCAAAACTCGAACCACTGTGCCTGCCACACTGGCTCTCAAGACTTGCCCTGTACTGCCAAATAACATAGTTAGAAGGGACTATACATCATCATCATCATCAAAATTTGAGTTATAGGCACATTTGGAGACAGTGTTGTAGATACCCTCACCAAAGCTGCCATGGGGTGGTGTAGTTTAGTCATGGGGTGGGGCTTATCTGTTCATAATATTGCTGGCCCAGTGGGCCTTTCTGATCCCCAAATACCCATTTCCTAGAAGACAAACTAAGTAAATTAAAAGTAGCTTGTCTCCACAGCAAACTTGACTCTGTTGTTAGTACAGCACTAGTTGAGGCATGTGAGGCCACCATCTACTAATTTTTGTGGGTTCTGTTTCCATTGCTGCATGATGAAGACAAGGCAATTCTGTGACCAACCACATATCCTCTCCATCATTGCCCTTCTTCACGAATAAAAGCTAGCCAAGGGCATATGACTGGTTGGGTCCAGAGAATGGTAATCCTTGCTTTGAAGGGGTGGTTCCTGCTGTCCTTAAGGAGACAACCATGTGACCATTGCTAAAGAAACATAATTTGGATCCAGTGGTATTTGACAACTACCACACTACTGTGAATTCTTAGGGAAGATACTTGAGAGGATCATGGTGGAGCAACTGCAGGCATACTGATACTGAAGATACTGGAGGATATTGATTATCTAAACCTATTCCAATCTGGGTTTCAACCTGGTTACAAGGCCAAATTAGCCTTGCTCACACTGATGGATGATTCATATTGAAAGAGGAATTGGGAGAGTTTGACCCTGCTAACTTTGTTCAGTCTCCTCAGCTTTTTATAACAATCATAGTATCTTCTTGGATCAGTTCCAAGAGTTGGCCACCAGAGGCACCATGTTATAGTGGTTCAGCTCTTACTTTCTGAAATTGATAGTACAGGTAATGTTGATCCTTGGCCCCATGCCACTTGAGCTGTGCAGTTGCGACATCTATATGAAGCCACTAAAAGCAGTTATTTGGTGATTTGGAACTGATGACACACCACTCTGTCTCCCTCTGATGTCTGAATCAGATGAAGCTGTGCAAGTCCTGGATCAGTGCCTAGACCCAGTGATGCAGGCCAGTAAATTGAAGCTGAATCCTGGCAACCCAGAATGCAGGAGATAGACTTTAATTGTTTTAAATTGTTGGCTACCTTGAAAACTGCTGCTGTATAGAGGGACAAAAATGTCCAGTTTTCCAAAATGCAGAAAATATATGTTCAGCCTGCTGCAATTTTGGAAGATTAAATAATATTCCAGTTTGGGGTTTCTTCAAAAAGCACATGGACAAAATCACATATGAAAAAATGTGAAATCACTATATACAATAGGAAAGAAGAAGAAAAGAATATTTTCTCTGAGGGAAGTTCAGAGACTATCAACAAAGGAGAACACATTTATTTTACATTTTTGTATGTTATAGGTTTTATGTTTTTTCATCTTGTAAATGCCCAAGAGCTTTGACTGTTGGATGGTACAAAAAGTGAATGAAGAAAGAAAAATAATAGTGGGTGGGTAACTGAAAGAGCCAGATTTATTCCATTTAATGACAAATAAAGAGCCTTAAGTGTTGGATTTCTACTTCACTTAACACCAGGTAAACCTTCCTGATCTGCATCATGCAGGAGATTAGATAATCCATTATGGTTAATACAGGGGGGAAGAGTCAGTATCCTTGTCCTTATATTTTAGTCTTTATGATTGAACTATTTATTGCCTCACTGTAAAACTATCTATTTTGGTTGGATTACGCCAGGATAAATGAGCAATAAGTGGTAATATACCAGGGCAGTTGGTAATAATCTGAAGATCCCTTTTCCTAAATATTTCCCCTCTGTCTGTGAAATACATTTAGGTCACAGTCTTAAGGTGTCCCAAAATCACCTGAGGGTGATCATAGGATTTTTCAGAAGATCCTCCAACCTCAGTTCGCAGATGCCAAAGACCAAGTTCCTGCCCTACCTTCCTTTCAGCCTGCATGGAAAGAACTGCTGGTTGCCCACCCCAGGTCATAAGTGGGTGGAGAAGAGGCTGGGGCCACAGCACTGTGCTGATTTTAATTGGAGCCTACCTCCCTCCTCCTTACTAGCCCTGAATCTAAAAAGCCCAAAATAGCTAACTAGATAAAATACAGAGTGTGAGGCATGACAACAACAAAGATTGCTACTGCCATGCCTCATACCTTGCACTGGATGGCCATAAGCCTTCAAGTTTGGAGGCTAACAGGCATCTGCCACACAGGTGATAGGATTTCATATTATAAAAAGATGCTGTTTGGATAAATCAAAAACATTTACTATGATGATGGGAATTTACTCCTCCTCTAGGCTCTATATATCTTTCTTACAAGATACAGATTAATATCTGACTTTGCTACTAAAAATACTACATAAATACTACAAAATACTAATAAAGGATACTACACAAATAATCTACATTATTACTTCTGCACATACAGATAGATATCTGACTTTGCTAATAAAAATGCAGAAAATTACATTCAAACCATGCATGTCATGATAAGCATATATGTTTTGTATTTTGTAACTGAATTTGTTTTTCTTTTTTATCAAGGATGCATAAAAAATCCTGATGCTGAATGGATAACATACAATTAAAAATAAACACCTCAGTATCAGAATAGCTAGTAAGGACAATATTTATTCCACTCCACAGTTAGTGGTGACGATATTGTCAAATGCCCTTGAGCTTTACTGAGCATGCTCAATTTCTCTAGTCTGTTCATTGCATTTGATTCTTTAGCTGTAGCCTGTCCAGTGTCTTATGTGCAGGCAGAATAAAGGATACTACAAATATAATCAACATTATTACTTCTGCACATAAACTGGATTGACAGCATTTGGCTTTGTGTTTCTGGCTTCCTGACAGCCTTGGATTCACAAATACTGCTTTCTTTGTATTTAAAGGACAGAAATGGACATGCTGCTGAACACTGGAAAGCTGATTTCCTCTTTTTAACATCTCTTGGCCTTGGCATATTTTTGAGTGATTGCTTATTCAACATCTTCTAATCAAGAGGTAAATAATTATTTTCTTTTTGTTTGTTTTACTTCTTGCATGCTAAAATCACATCTTTCCTGTCTATTTAACATACAAAACATGTATGTTTCCATTAACATGCATCTCATTTTTGCAGACATGTGACTTTAGAGCTATCATCTCATCAAATCATTAATGGGGTTCACAGGGAAATATCACAGCAACTTTCAAGGGTTCCAGATTCACAAAATCACAGTAACTGTCTTATATTATAGCCAGAAATTCTGTCATAACAGGAACACATTTTGCTGAGTGTCCATGGTACTGAAATCTCTCAAATGGTCATTTACTAGCTCTGAGGGTACCTCATTCCTTCCCTGTATTTTACTTTAACACTGAGACTGGCATTCTTTTATTTATCATGTCAACTGTCCTAGCATCAGCTAACTTTCTATTTCCTATACTGAAATGATAAGCTAATGTGACTTATGGCACCTTTATGTATGGCACCTTTAAGTGGAGGAAAGGTCAGTGATTGGGTAATAAAGAAGTTAATCCTTAATTCCACAAAATCATAATGGGCATTTGAATTGTGTGATTTGAGGGCATTGCAACAATGTTTTTACATTGTAAGAAAACTAATCCTTGTGTCAGTTCTACAAGTTTTAGGCCTGAGCTGTGCCTACAAAAAAAAGTATGTAGGATTGAGCACATTAACTTAACGCATTTTTGCAAAATCACAAGCTGCAGTACTACACTAGAATTCCTATATGATCCAGAACAGCATAATGGTCTGTCAGCACAGGTCAGTACTGCACCATCAGAAAAAGCTACTACCCACAGAAATAAGAGGAGGGAATGAAACTGGGTGATTTATATGTGATATCCTAAAGCTTATTAGGCACTACAGAGCTAACTACATAAGCAGAGCTGCATGCACCTGATATGTTATTAAGAAATATCAATGGATGTGAAAATGAATATAACTGGAATAGGAATGTAGCTTTTAAAGACTGACCTGGCTACGAGTCCTTGCTCCATGCTACTGCCAGGATGAGAGGTAATATGCCTCTGATTGCCAGTTTCTGGGAAACAGTGGGAGAAGGCTGTTAAGCTCCTGTGCCGCTTGTGGGTTTCCCAGGAACATTTGGTTTGCCACTGTAGGACACAGAATGCTGGAACTGAAAGACATTTGTTCTGCCCAGCAGGACTCTTCTTATGCACAGGATGCTTACATACTTAACACAATACACCGTAGCTATATAATGTTCATGTATGCTACTTGATGCTCACCCACAATGCAAATATGCATATCTACAAGGCCAAAATCCATTGAAACATCTTCAGTGACCTAAAAAATTTGGCTTGTGGCATGAAGATAACACAAGTTGTCACATTCTGGTTCAAAGTAGAATGTATTAATATTTTTATTATAGTAAAGACACTATCTGTTGTGGCTGCCCCTTAACTCTCCAAACTTGGAGGATTACAGGCTTGCAATGGAGAGCAGAAGGAGCGTGGAAGTCAGGATTGCTTCAGCACTCCTCCCACTTTTCAAAACACTTAGGTGGCTAATGTTGTGTGTTTAAATGCTTACACTAGATTGTGAGATGAGCCAGAAGCACCACCAAGATTCCTCATACGACTGTGGTGCCTTGCTCCTCTTCGCCCTGCACCATCTCCAATGTCAGTTCAGTCTTGTGAAGTCAGAGCTGCAGTCTCCATGAAAAAACCATGTCAGCTGCAAGGGTGGATGAAGGTGGTCACTCCACATTTAGAGTCTCAGCTCTGCTTTAACTGAGCTGGGATTCCAAGTTATTCTATGAATTATCCTCTCTGTCTTGGCTGCTCTTCTCTCCCTCTTTCCAAGCAAATTGGAAGAAATGCTTTCTAACCAAAAGTATTTATCATGTTAAAGCTGACCAGGTAGCCTGGCTTTGTAATACAAAAGAAGAATATTACAAACGGCATTAACAAAAGAAACACGCAAAATTAGAATACTGATCATGGGGCGGGGCGGGGCGGGGAATGCTTAATGATATGATTCCAAACCAATACCTCTCCACCCTCCCAAACTAAAACAAGCTAACCTCACCATCAGGGTGGTTCATGCCACTTAAGGGCCAATTTCTTGGAGCATCTGACACTGCCAGCTGGTCCACCCACTTAACATGACACAATATAATGGGATTAATGACATTGGGTTTACCCCACTGCTGCCATATCAGCTTACTAAACTTCCCAAGAGAATTTGATCTGATTCTCAGTTACTACCTGGCTGATTCTCAGTTACTACCTGGCTTCTCTCTGGATCCACTGGTCTTGGCAATACAGTTGTAGGTTCTGGCCTTCCTCTTCCAAATCAAAATCCAATTCCACAATCTTTGAGGGTTCTATTATAAGAAGATCTGCCCCAAAATAGCAGTTTAGACAGTGACTATAGGATTGTGCACTAAAAGAGCCCTTTGGGGTAAACCATTTCATGAACTGTAAGAGTATTATTTAAATCCTAAAAGAAAACAGTGGGTATTGCAGAAAAGATGAGTATCAAGCATAAATTTTAAAAGTCTAACAATAGCAAGTACACGGATGATTTTGACACAGCACGATAATCTTCTATCAACATAATTTTCTTTAAAGTGTATTTATAATAAGACTTTGGTTTCTCCTTAAAGCCACCTCTGTTTATCAAAGACATTGACAGAACATTAGACTTAGATTAAGGATTACTTCAAAAAAATGTAATAATGCAGACTTGCAATTTGATCAGCTTTATCATTCCTGAATCAATTATGTTTTCTTTATGATCAGTGCCAATTGTCTGAGGAAATGGATACTTCACCAACCAAACAATATCCAGTGAAAAAGAGAGTGAAAATTCATCCCAACACAGTAACAGTGAAATATACTTCCCATTATCCACAGCCTGGAGAAGAGGACTATGAAGAAGCTATTGAAGATAATGACAATTTTGTAGAAGATAATCCAAAGAGAAGGCTGCTGAGTAATGGAAAATGGAAAGGAAGGTCCTTTTTTGGGACTATCGACATCCCATCTCCAACAGGAGAGAAGTTAGAAGCCAACCAAAATGGGCAAGGGCAAGGTTTTGCAGATGAAAACATTTTTCAATCTAGAAAGACTTGGGCTGTGCTTTTTGGATCTGCTTTGGCCCATGGTTGTGTAGCCCTAATAACTAGACTTGCTTCTGATCGTTCCAAAGTGCCATCTCTAGAACTAATCTTCATTCGTTCTGTTTTACAAGTGTTTTCTGTCTTAGTCGTGTACTACTACCATGAGGAGCCATTTGGACCAAAAGGCCACCGTTTGCGACTCTTCTTCTATGGAGTATGTAATGTTATTTCCATTACCTGTGCTTATACTTCCTTTGCAATAGTACCTCCAAGCAATGGGACTACAATGTGGAGAGCTACTACCACTGTCTTCAGTGCTATTTTAGCATTTTTACTAGTAGATGAGCGAATGGCTTGCGTTGATGTCATTACTGTAGCGTGTAGCATTGTTGGTGTTTGTCTGGTTATGATCCCCAACATTGTAGATGAAGAAAATTCTCTGTTGAATATCTGGAAAGAGGCCTTTGGCTATACTATGACAGTTATGGCAGGTTTAACCACTGCTCTCTCTATGATAGTATACAGGTCCATTAAAGATAGTGTCAGCATGTGGACTGCACTGTTTACTTTTGGTTGGACTGGAACTGTATGGGGAGCCTGTACGATGTTTCTCCTCCAAGAACCAATAATTCCACTGAATGGAGAAAGCTGGAGTTACCTCATTGGCATCTGTATATGTTCCACTGTGGCTTTTCTGGGAGTCTATTATGCCTTGAGCAAATTCCATCCGGCCTTGGTCAGCACAGTGCAGCATCTGGAGATTGTGATAGCCATGATCCTTCAACTTCTTGTGCTACACATCTTCCCCAGCATTTATGATATGATTGGAGGAGCTGTTATCATAATTAGTGTCTTTTTTCTTGCATGTTATAAACTCTCTTGGAAGGACTTGAGGAAGCAAGATTATCAGGAAATACTAGATTCTTCCATTAAGTGAATGCAAAATTGTTTTTTTTCTCTCTCTTTACTGCCATGTACAATTAATATGCATTTATGTATGACTTTTCTATAGTGTTGTGAGCAGCATACCAATGTTTCTTGTTCAAACATAAGGGGTCACGTCTGCCCCAGCATAACTCAGTGGAAATGCATCAGAAATGTCTGTTCTAGACTCTCTATGTGAGAAATGTTTAAAAATGTGAAAGCTGTGAAAACTAGATTTTATTCTTAGCTCAAATACAGAAAGTGCTAATATTTACTATAGACAGTTTTCTCCTGGAAGATACCTTATTGGAGTCTTACACGCATAATTTGATCCAGAGGTTTTTATATTAGATAATATCTATCTATGTAGAGTAGTCTTCTAGGGTTCAAGGCAAGGAAGTCTATAGAAGGACATAACCAAGCTGAGCTCCTTAGCTTCTTACCACAAGGAACCAATCAAATCTTTCACTGTACCTGCTCCAGGCTCTCTGGTGCATAGATGATTCCTATAGATTTCATCTGTTCTAACTGCCATTTTTCTCTTGACCAGAATTCAGTGCTGATGAGCAGGCTTATATTTGACCTTACAACCTCAAATGATAACTTTAGGGTTCCTGGAGTTGAAGACCAGACAAGAAAGAATGTAATTGCGAAAACTCAGCAAATAAATATGAATTCTGAAAAAAAAGAATTATTGAAGTATGTATACTATTTATTTGTAATATGTAATATTTTATAAGTAAGAATTTTAACATGTATGCACTTCTAATAATAATTATGATCCTGTTTCATCTCTAGTACAATTACTTGTTATGCATTATTCAAACCTGAAGCCCCTGGCTATTCTGCTTCTCAAAAGTAATGCATGTAATTATCACTGTTTGTAGTAATTCCCACTATTTGAGATCTCCATCTGTTTTTGTAGCAGCAGGCACTAGAACAGATATCAACAACAGCCACTTGTTCTCCGTAACCTATGAGAGGGTAGGAGCTAATACAAATTCAGGACTTTGTTAATAATAGTGTTTACTACTATGAATAATAGTTTACTGTGCTGCATATGTTTTAAAGAAGCCAACTATGGAGAGAAGGAATATCCATAAAATGATGTGTGTTTGGTTTCTAGAATAAAAGATAATCCTTTGAAATATGATTTCCATTTTATTCTTTGCTATGAAGCTAACATGGTATAGTCAGTTTGATTGTATCTTATGATATTCAGGTTCACAGCAAATAATAAAGGCATCATATTTGTATAGGCAGGGTCTTCCAATCATGACACACTCAAGTTTGAAGGACCTATATACAGTTCTCCTCCTTGCCAACTACAAGTACAATGAATCTGGAGTCCAGATAAAGTTAAAGAGATGTTTCTTCTCCCAGTATATGCTGTGAAGGTGAACGGTGTTACTTATTTACTTGGCTTCCTTTAATCTTATCAATATTTTTAAAAAATAGCAATACAAACAAAATTACATACGAGGCAATAAAATGAAAACAAGTGCCAGAATTTATACAAATAATAAAAATAAAGATTTCATGAACACCCTTAAAAGGGGCAAGCCCTTGGATCAGTTCTGTGGAACAGGAAACTGCTTCCAAATCTTTGGAGCCATCATCAAAAAGCTCAGTTAAAAGTGGCTGTCAGCCTAACAAGAATGGCAAGTTCTTATCCATAGTAGTCAGATACATAAAAGAAGGTGCTGCTCCAGGTAACCTGGGCCTAAACAATTAAGAGCTTTAAGGCTGAGCACCACAATAGGTCAGTAAATAACTTGGAAGCAGAACTCAGGTATTGCATGGTTTCTGTAGCTGCTGTCAGGTATTAACATGGCTGCTATGTTTTGGACAAGGTGAGATTTCTAGACAGGCTTCAGTGGCAGCACAATAATGTTCAGGCTTTTCTTTTTCAGAAGCGTATACTATTAGTAAATCCGCCAAAGCTTATAGAACATTCTCCTAGGAAAAGAGAGCAAGCTCCAGGAGCATACCTATGTGTAAGCTACAAACCTGGTTCTTTAGTGGGGAAGTTTTCCAGTGTCAAAAACTGAAATGTCCATTAAAACTTGATGAGAGGAGAACTTTAGATATCACAGCTATTGACATATTAGTGGAAGCAAGATGAAAATGGAAGCATTTTTACCTGTCAACATTGTGTTAAGAAAAGCACAGATGAGGCATCCTTAAAATATGTGTATTATGAATTGTGTGTAATACATTGAAAGTTTTTCCTTTCTCAACACACACGTGACCTCTTAGAGAGCTATCCTGACAAGTCCAATAAATTCATTGGGGTTAGGGTCTGATTTACTCCCAGGTTAGGGCATATATAGACAGGAAAGTAATGCTAGATCACAGGGTTTGTGTTTTTCCCTTCCCAATTTATTTTTTAAAGTTATGTGCCTTTTAACTCAAACAAGCACCTGAGAGTCAGAGAATGTTGCAATTATTAGTCTGAGAAGGAAGAGAAGTTAATGCTTTAAAAAGACCTTCTCCTGTCACATAATTTCTTTCATATATACATGAAGTAACGGAAGACAAAAAGAGATTTCACTTTTTAAAAATGAAATTGGAAAATTTTGAAACATTCATCATTGCTTCCCATTAGCTTTGCCGTTTTTGAAGGGCAGGCATTTCATGCAAACGTAGTATTTGCCAGGCCTCGTTTCCGTATGGTGTAGCTGTTCAGCTGTCAAATCCATCCTTCCTCTTCAGTTCTTCGCTCCGTATAATTCCAAGTCCCGGCTAGGCAGTCGCAGGGCCAAGAGGGGGCCGAGCCATCTGCCTGCCCAGGAAGGACGAAAGTCACTGGCTCAGCAGGGAGGCCGAGCAGCAGCGCGGACAGGCTTTTCGGCCATTGGCTGGCGCGTTGCTATGGCAACGAGAGACTCTGCCGCGGGCAGCGTGGGAGCCACGGCTCAAGAGCAGGTACTTCTTGCCAAAGGCTTGCCGGCCCCCGGGGCAAGACAGACCCTTCATGTTTTTAACAGTCGTCTGCATTAATTCTCCGGTTCATATTCCTTTCTTTTCATAGTGATTTCATCTCTTCTGCACCTTTTTCATTGATATGGTAGCACTTCTGAAATTATTCTCAAGAAGAGAACCGCTGAGGCTGAGCCAAGCACTTTTCCAGGCTACCAAATAACCAGGCCGGAGGGAAGGCGCAATTAGGGAAACGGGCTTCCAACCGTGGCTAATCCTTGCATTACATTTAAAGAGACTTTTCACGCTGCTTCTCAGATCTAGAAACCAAATAGTATTATTTAATCAGGGCAATTGTTACTACCCTTTGCCGCTATCTCCTCCCAAAAGTTGGATTTCCTGATGTGACATAGGCGTGACATGCAGTTTCATGGCCCCTCCAATTTTTGGCCTCCTCTGCTGTCCCTTCTCATTTAATCTGACCTCCCTATAAGCACATTCAGCTCACCTCTCTTCTTCTCATCCCTTCTCATCCTCATTTGCTGCCTGTGCTTCACACTGCCACCCATTCCACTAACCCATGTAGAAGAGGTCAACATAATTCCCATCCCCTTTCCTAGAAGACAATGGCAGCAGGAACACAGGTTTGCTACCATTGCTCCCTGGGTAGAAGTCCTCCTCTTTCTGCCCATCACACCTCTTTCAAAGGTGCAAGAAACCCAGAAAACAAAAGAATAAACTTAAGAGACTCTATTCTTGGAAATGCCTTTTCATTCTCTGATATAGAAGCAAAATAGTATAATTTATACAGGGTTTATTAAAAAAGATTAAAACTTTTCATCATTAGCAGTCCTGCCACCCAACTAAAGAACTCTTAGTTTATTGTGTGAGTTTCAGTCAGTTAAATTAGCATATTTTTCATATGAATGCATTTGTGATACTGAAGAAAAAACTGCTTCCTTTATTTTTTTAAAGCTATTTCTTCTGTGCGTGCGTGCACACACGTTGCAGTAGACACTGAGAAGAGTTAGGGAATAAATGTTTTTTTTATGATGGTGGCTTCCATCTATAGATTTTATAATGAATCTGTTAAAAATAGCATCTGTTTAAAAATCCTTTGCTTAGTTAAACATGGAAACTATTGTCTGGATGATCTGCAGTAGATCTGCAATGCCCTCCCTACTCACTAACAATTGCAGCAATTGAATTAGATTGCTAAAGCTGAAAAACTAAGGGGGAAATCAGATTTGTGTGTGATGTGTTCAGCTCTGGTACTGAAACAAATACCAGGCTGAGCATATTTTAATAGAACTGTGCCTCTTCCCTTAATCTAAGCTTACATCCTCCACCTTTCCCTTTTCCTTGCCTCTACTTTTCATTTGTTGGAACTCAGAGTTCTAGTTTAAAAAAGGAGTAGACACAGTAGATCTAGCAAATCTAAATCCTCACATCTGTTTCTTGTCAGTCACAGAGGTTTTAAATGATTGATTTCATTGATTGAGTTTGAGCGTACCTCATAATGCATAAAAGTGGGCTGTAAGTGAGACAGATTTAGTTGTTAGACATGATATGATAGTAACTGTTGCAGTGTTTAAGTGACCATGGCTGCAATCCTAATCACAATTGCTAAGGAAGAAGTTCCATTTGACAACACAAGATTTACAGGTAAATATGCAAGGAGCTGTGCTGTAGCTGTCATTGCTCATGTTTTTTCCCACTAATTATATCTATTAGCAGAGTACATTATACATTTATTTCATAGATTTATATATGACAATCCACAGGTAAAAATAAGCAGTTTACAAAAAAGTTAAAACTGTAAAATACATTATGTTATGCATCCAAGTATTATTAAAATATGTAATGATTGATAACACAGTCATATACATTAATTATTAATAAAAGTATTGACATTTATTAAAAACTTTATAATACATAATCATGTCTAGATTTGGTGGCACTTCTATTTTGAGACATGATGGTTTGTTACTTTTTTTTTTTTTTTTTTTTTTTTTTTTTTTTTTGGCAGTATCATGGCGAGCAGGAAGAAAGAACTAGCTTTGCAGGTCAGTAATAAAGGTTCCAGATATCATAGTTTGAGTTTCTGACTTAGATAGAGTGAGCAGAGATGGCACTATATTGCATTATATTTTGTCAGTGAAACATCATAGAGATCAGTTGTTCTAAAACAGTAAGCAAAAATTCCCACTTCTACATGACTATTAGACGTGCTTGAGCCTGCCCCTTCTGCGTCTGGCTATCCTGTCTTCAAACAGCAATGAAAAGATGATGGGAGTTGCAGTCCAACAACATGTTGGTTCCTGGATCCAGGAGGTTATTAACGCCTCACTGAGGGAGGGCCAGGTCTCCGCGGTGATCAGGCCTGTCCTAAAGAAGGCATCCCTGGATCCCAAGATGGCCGCCAATTATAGAACGGTGGCCAACATCCCTTTTCTGGGCAAGGTGTTGGCGTGGGTGGTGGCGGGACAACTCCAGGCACTCTTGGATGAAACTGATTATCTGGACCCATTTCAGTCCGGCTTCAGACCCGGGTACGGTACTGAATCTGCCTTGGTCGCCCTGTACGATGACCTGTGCAGGGAGAGGGACAGGGGGAGTGCATCCCTGTTGGTTCTCCTGGACGTCTCGGCGGCTTTGATACCATCGACCATGGTATCCTTCTGGATAGGCTAGCTGGACTGGGAGTAGGAGGCACTGCTTGGCAGTGGTTCCGCTCCTACCTTGAAGGCCGATTCCAGAAGGTGGTGCTGGGAGACTTTGGCTCTGCACTATGGCAATTCTGCCATGGAGTACCGCAGGGCTCCATTTTGTCCCCCTTGCTATTTAACATCTACATGAAACCACTGGGAGAGGTCATCAGGAGGCTTGGGCTGCGGAGTCATCAGTATGCTGATGACACCCAGCTCTGCCTCTCCTTTTCAACTAATCCAGGTGAGGCAGTGACTGTCCTGAACCGGTGCCTGGCCGAGGTAATGGGCTGGATGAGGGCCAATAAACTGAAGCTTAATCCAGATAAGACGGAGGTCCTGTTGGTAGGTGATTCGAGTTTCTGGGTAAGTGATCTGGGCCCTGGCCTGGATGGAGTTGTACTTCCTCTAAAGGACAGGGTCTGCAGCTTAGGAGTGCTCCTCGACCCAGAACTGTCCCTGGAAGCCCAGGTGACAGCGGTGGTGAGGAGTGCTTTCCTTCAGTTCTGGCTCATCTATCAGCTGCGTCCTTACCTGGAGAACTGCCTGGCAACAGTGACACATGCACTGGTTACCTCCCATTTGGACTACTGTAACGCACTCTACCTGGGGCTCCCCTTGAAAACAGTCCGGATACTTCAGATGGTGCAAAATAGAGCTGCCAGGATGCTGTCGGGGACTGGTCGTTATTCCCATTTATCTCCAGTCCTCTATCAGCTCCATTGGCTTCCCACTGAAGTCCAGGCTCAATTCAAGGTGCTGGTTATTACCTATAAAGCCCTAAACAGCTTGGGACCAGGATACCTAAAGGAACGCCTTTTTCCCTATATGCCCTCCCACCCCCTAAGATCAGGAGCAGAGGCCTCCTCTGGGAACCCTCTTTGAAAGAGGTTAGGAGACAGAGTACTTGGAGGAGAGCTTTCTCTGCGGTGGCGCCCCGACTATGGAATGCGCTCCCTAGAGAGGTTCGCCTGGCACTCTCATCATATGCTTTTCTACGCCAGGTCAAGACCTTTTTATTTAAACAATATTTTAAAGTTAATTAATTTTAATGGTATATTTATTTAATTCATTTTAACTATGTTATTTTATACTGTCGTGGTATAGACAATTTAATTGTTTAGGATTGGTGGGTTTTAATGTTTGCAAAACAGCCAGAGAGCCCTCTGAGCTATTAGGGTGGTATATAAATGCAAATAATAAATAAATCTTGAAGGCTACACATTCCCCATCCATGGTTTCATTAAGGCAGATTTAGTCCTTCAATTGTAAGTACAACCTATCAGTCAACTTTATTTTTATGAAGATCCACAAAGACAGGGTAAAGATATACATGTGGACTGGCTGTATTGATACAGATGCCATCACAGTCCAACTTCCGCATGGCAAGAGGCCCCAAGAAAAGTTGTGTGTGTGTGTACGCATGTGTGCATATAGTTGTTTGTGGCCTAAATAGGCAGGAACATCATGAATTCTTATTTTTATACTAGGTCATGGACATACAGTTGATGAAGAGATTGTGTTTACATTTGAAAGGGATGCAGTGACAGCTGTAGGTTTCCAGAGTTTCTTAGACAAGGTACCCCTAGGGGTGGCCTCTGTCTCTGAGTTGATCCCATACCCTCTTGTCACAGTTATTGCTGTCTGTTTGCCTGTTTTCTCCTTCTGGACCCAGTCCACACAACCACCCAGGAGAAGAGCTCAGAACAAATGGAAGTTGCCTGCTGCATCTCCTGACCTCACATGCTTGTATGCTTGGAGAAAATGGTGCCAGCACCCTGCCTCATTCATAGAACATGGATGCTCTGGAGAGCAGACATGTTCAGACAATATGATAAATCACATTGAAGAACAAGTTATGCAGTGGGTGTCAATTGCCCCAAACTCCACAGATGATGCTGGCCTCCCCACTCCTCCCTCTTTGGTCTTCCTGGTGGTATTCCATGGGATACTGAAAAAGTTTAAGACTTCCCCACCCCTGCTGCAAGTCCATTAAGGTACCCATAGCTTAACTTTGTACTATAAATATTCTTTTTCCTTCACTTTACCAAGTGGCTCTGGAGCAGTTTGTATCAATCCATAAGGGCTCAGATGACATAGCACTGTGGGTGCTATGGGTGAGTTTCACTGTGGATCAAACAAATCCTGTCACAAACCCATCAGTTCTCAGGGTAGCTTTTAATCCAAACTTAAACTTGCCAACAAACCCATTGTGGGTTTGGACAGCACATGAACCCAGTGTGGTTCATGAGCCACCATGGTTTAGTTTCTTGTGAGAACCTAGTCAATGTCATTTTCTACTCACGACCCTCCTGTGTTTTCCAAATAATTCTTCTGCCTTTTTTCTTACTGCAAAAAATGCAGTAAAGCGAAAAAGACAGAATAGCTGAACAATACTTTCTCATTGGCAGTGCTAAGAGCCTTCTACCAGGAAATGTCACAGGTGAATAGGCAGGAACAGCAAAGAAAGTGAGTAGCACAGACAGGAAGCCATGAGTGTCAGTAGCAGGCCCTCCTGCAGAGGTGTGAGCCTCAGCATGTACTTGACAAGACCTCACCTAAATATCGACCCTCAGTAGACTGGCTATGCAAATGGAGAGCCAGTGTGGTGTAGTGGTTAAGAGCGTGGGACTGGGACTCAAGCCATCTGGGTTCTAGTCCCCGCTTGGCCATGGAGCCAACTGGGTGACTTTGGGCCAGTCACAGACTCTCGGCCCAACCTACCTCACAGGGTTGTTGTTGTGGGGATAAGATGGAGGAGGAGAATGAAGTAAGCTGCCTTGAGTCCTTTGTAGGAAAAAGGCAGGATATAAATCGAAGAAAAAAAATAATGCCAGTGGTAACTGGATCTATCCAGCTTGTGCAGAGAATTTGTTTTGAAAACATATGTTTGATTACTATCCCATGATATTTTACCATAAAGAAGCAGCTGTGCACATTTACTCCCAAGTATTCCCATTGAACCCAGTAGTTCTTACTTGCTGTAACTAGGCCACTTCTGTTTGCATATAACTTAGACTTGCCTTGTGCAACTGCTGCTGCTGCTGCTGCTGCTGCTATGTGCCATAAAATCATTCTGACTGATGGTGACCATATGAATGAAAGTCCTTCAAAATGTCTTGTCCGTGACATCCCAGCTTAGCACTTCTAAATTATGTAGCTGGTAACCAGAAATACAGTCTTTTATCTTTTCTAAGTACACTTAAGACTTTGTACTGTAATAGAAACATGATGATGTATTTTAATAATTTTGTGTATGGAGACTATATATTTTCAGTGTTAGTTTGAACATATTATGTAGATATCAATATTACATATTTTTATTAATACAGCATGATTAATGAAGCATATTTAAATAGAAATAAAGTCTGTTGTGCCATCCAAAAAACTAACACATTTATTAAGGAATAAACTTTTGTGAATTACAGTCCACTTTATCAGGTGTACTTCATCAGGTGCATAAAAGCTTCTGTGTAAATGCATTAGTTTTTTAAATGCCACAAAACTTTTTGTTGTTTTCGCTGCAACTGAAGAACATAACTATGGTGATTTTTAAATAAGAACCCAAGGGAATGTATTTGTGATTTCATTATTTTAAAATAACTCATAAAGCCTATAATCTCTATAAATCCTGCCATCAAGTGGCCAGAAGAAGAAACTGATTATTTCAATCCTCCTAGCTACTTACATCAGAGTAGACCTATTCATATCACTGGAACTACCTTTATGTGATTGAGCCAACTACTTAAAGATTGACCTTATCGTGCTCTGCTGAACATAAAGTATAATGTTTTGCTAATGAAATGTTTTGAGGTGTGATATGCAGAACCAGATTATAACTGTGCAGTGTGAACCATCCATGTTTTTCTTAGACATAGGTAAGAAACATCCATATGAACAGAAAGGACAACTTTTCCATGTCATTCTGTGACCTTATAAAGTCGACTAAAAGTGCAAGTCTATGCAAGTTGAGCAGGAAAAATGGCCTACAGCTCCCAGCATACTCTAAGAAGCATAACTGGGTGTTGTAAGCCGTTTTTCTGTCAAAACTTACATAGGATTCTGCCTTGAGAGGTTGTGCTTACAACTAAAGGACTAACGGCACTATCATATGCAATTTTAGACAATATAGGCTACAACTCCAAGCATGCTCCAATTGATGCTTTCAGTCAACTGTATCTTTATAAAGACCTATTATGACAGGGGAAAGTTATCTCGAAATAGATTGCTTTTAAATTTCGGCTAAATTTCATTTATTCCAAAGTAGGCTTGAGTAAGACTGCAACTTTAATGTCTTATACATAGGCCTTCATAGACCCAAAATATGACTATTTAAGCATTTAGTAACATGCCGACTTCCACTGACAGAAGCCTCATTCTGCAGGCAGAATTTGAGTTATGCTGCTGGTACATAAACCCCATATAATCATAATGCAAATGATAGAGGGTATACCCTGGGGTGCTGTCTCCCTGCCCCACATCGCGGGCACTTAAAACACTAATGGAAATGCAGGATGCATGCTGCCTTGCTGATGAGGCTGTCTTGCTCAAACAAAAGGAAAACTCCCAGCTTACTTTTGGTGCAGCATCCAAAATATCCTGACTGATACATTCCCTGTTGCATTACTTTGTTGAGTCAATTTATAATTAATATGTACCTTTCTGAAGTACTCTTTTTTTCCTGCTCCTGGAAAGAAAATGGAATCTCTTACAGGATCAAATATCTTATACAACCAGAATCCTGGCCTGATCCCAGCACTCCATGGTTTTCTGGATACTGGATTTTTCATGCATACATTTGCGCTCACTACCTGTCTCGGAGAGTATCAGCCAATTTAGGAACATCTCTATTACTTGCTAAACATGAGCATCACAGTAAACACAGCAGTACTTCAGCAGCAGCAGCAACATGGAAGGAGGTGCTCTTGGATCAGCCACTACACAGTCTAGGAGAATAAAAGGTCTTTACATTTGGGGAGGGCATTCCAAAACTGGTGTGCCACAGTTGTGAAATGTCACCTGCCTCACTTCATTAGGTGGGAGCACCCACAGATGAGCCTCTGAAAATGACCTTAATAAGTTCTAAGCAGGCGTATATGGGGAGAGACAAGCCTTCTGAAAACCTTATTTCAAACCATTTAGGGATTTAAAGTTCCACGCTAGCATTTTGAATTGGAATCAGAAATGGACCAGAAGCCAGTGCAGATCACAAAACACTGCTATGTGGCCACTGCCCACTAACAATCTTATTTTGGATCACCTGAAGTTTCTAAACTGTTTTCAGGGAGAAGTATTATATAAGCTGACTTGGGTTCCTTGCAGGAAAAATGTTGAGACAGAAATATTATATATAGATTAATGAATGAATTGCAGTGATCCTAACATGGGATTACCAGAATGTGGATGAACATTACTTGACAATCTCTATCCAGATAGGGTTCTAGTTGACATACTAGCTTAAACTGATAAAAGGTGCTCCACATCACTGAGGCCCCCTGTACCTCCAGTAACAATGGAGTATCCAAAAGTACCTCCAAACTCTGATCCTCTAGGAAGGGTGCATCTTCTTCCAGAAAGATTCAACATTGTTTATTGGTTAGACAAACCACCCACTAGCAGCACCTTCATCTTGTCTCACTTTATTGGCCCTCATTCAGTCCATTTCTGCATCCAAACCTGGATTTGATGAAAAGGAGATTTCAGTGCTGCACATCTCTTGATGACCTCCCCCAGCAGTTTCATGTAAATAATAGCATAGGGGATAAAATAGAGCCATGTGGAGCCACATGCCATAGCATAGTCTAAGTCAGTGGGTTTTGACTGTGTGAACAAAGTTCTATGAAGCTAGAAGAAATGCTTAGCAAGTGTAGGCTCAACTCAGCTTCATTCCGTATGTGAAAGCAAAGTGGTTGTCAGCCTTTTTATGGACTGCTTGTGCTCTTTGTTTCTCTTTGAAAAGTGTTGAATCCATCCTGTAGGTTGACAATAAATCTTTGTATATGATTATTTTTCCTCTCTTCACTAAAGGAATTAAGAGCTTTCCAATATAAGATCTGCTCTCCAGAGATTCAAATACAGTACATTTATTTTTAATAGAATCCCTGTTGCAAGCTATCAGTTGTTAGCGTGAAAAGGAAGTAGTTCATAAACATTTTTGTTAGTGCATGGAAATAACACAATGCATATCTTTAATTTTATTCCTAAACAATGTGTGAGTTTGTACAAAGGAATACTTTTAACGAAAGTGGATTGTGGCTTTAATCTTCCGGTAGTTCTGTGTAAACTTTTGAGTTGCTCCCTTGCTGACTCACCAGATCTTTTTTCAGGAAGCTGCACTAAACAGCTATTCTTCTTTATTGGAAGTTTCTCACTGATTTTCTTTAATTTATTCCCAGATGGTTGTCACTAATCAGGAACTTTGGGAAGAAATGCTAGGTACCAAAGGACTGATTGGTAAGACTTTTGCTGCAAATACCATACAGAATATACCCCTGTCCCCATCACTGTTCAGAAAAATAATTATATGCTGAGGTTAGATCAAGTTAAAATAGGATATGATGGGGACATGTAATGTACTTTTGTTCTTTCTGCTGCAGTGAGTTTATTATCTATAAGAGACATTCCTTGTTTTTTGTAAGACTCCAGAGACTTTTGTATTGGACAGCATATAAAGTAAAGGAAGCAGCCTCTATTCAGCTTGCTGTCTCTCTTTTGGGAGTCATATGGATTGGGTCCATTTGAGCGCAAGAGCACAAGTGAAGGACAGTTTGGACAGTGTTGAGGAAAAGGTGGAACCACTCAGAGAAGGAGGGGACCCACTCTGAGTATTTCACTTCCCCAGACCTAGAGCTGGCATTGATCTGTACAGTACTAACTACATGGCCCTCTCCATCTCATTGCCAGTGTGGCTTTCTCCTGGGAGTGGTTAATGAAAGCATTTGGACTATCCATGCTATATGGAATACTCTGATAAGCAGTGCTACACATCTCCAGCAATAGCAGCCTTCCTGTGGGCCTATAGCAGGAGATGCAGTAATACCCCTACTCTGCAGCAAGGAATTCATAGGACAATTAACTCATTTAATCTTAATTTGGACATGCACATGATAAGCATGTCATGAGTGGAGCTGGCTGGAGCCGGGGATCATAGTAGATGGCCTGGGAGACCCTTTCTGACTTGCTCTGTTTCTATTTTATGGGCTTAATTAAACTCTGTATGATATCACAGTTTATCTCAACCTCTTTTCAGTGGTAGATGTTTATCAAGGATGGTGTGGACCATGTAAGACAGTTGTAAACCTCTTCAGGAAAATAAAGAATGAACTTGGTGATGACCTCCTACATTTTGCTGTGGTAAGAAACCATTTCAAAAAGCCAAAGACTGGCTGCCCCACAACAAAAGGGGGGGAGGAATCAATCCCTTAGGAGGTGTATGAACGTAATATGTAGTTCCACTTGCTTTAGGGAAGTAAATAAAACTGCAATTGGACAGTGTTAAGATTGTGAGATGGTAGAAAAGCTGTAGGGCTTTTTCTAAATATGCATAGGATTGAGCCCTTAGACACTAATACGTTGTATTGCAGGTATCTGATTACATCCAGCTCTTTGGTTAGAAAAGCAATGCCTGACCCTCTTTTTTGAAAACATAAAAGCTGGCTGTAACTGTCTTGTGCTGGGCAAAATGCACAGGTTCCTGCATAGGAGAGAGCATAAGTAAAGAGAAACATGACAGTCCTTATAGTATTATAGCCAGGGATTATTTTTTGGTGGGGCTCTAGTGAAAAAACAAAAGCTAAATTGTATTTTATCTCATTTGGTGGTTAGAGGGATGGAATCCTTAGAATGCAAATTCCCACTTCAGGTGTAGAAAATAATCTTCCTGTCATAGCAAATACCTCCCTGAGTGGCTAAATATGATATCCTCCAAGACACATTAAAAAGACAACCATGCTGTTCCATGAAGAAAAAAATTCAAGTCCAGAGTTGGTGATCCGATAATGTAAATAAGGACCGAATTTATGTCATACATATCTAATACAAATGATGGAAAGTAACCTTTGAAGTGACCGAAGTGCTGAAACAAAACAGTTGGGATAAAAAGCTCTATAATGCTCAGATGTTTCTCATGTACCTGTAAACATTTGCTTTTACTGTATAATCTTGTTTACATTCTATTCAGGCTGAAGTGGAGTCAATTGATGCCTTAGAAAAGTATCGTGGAAAATGCGAGCCAACATTTCTCTTTTATGCTGTAAGTTGCTGCAAAAGGCTGCCTTTACTTTTGAAATTTGAAACTTTTTTCAGTTGTTAGCACTAACAATAGAGATGGTACACAAAGCAGCTATTCCTTCTTTTCCTCCTGATAAGAAATAACATGGAAGAAATGGTGGGAAAACATGGAGGTCTACAAGTGGGCTATCAAGCCATCTGAACCACTATAGATTTCTGTGAATATGGCAGTGCAATTTCACAATAAAAGCCTCATCTAGAAGTACCTTCCATCTCTCTACACCAACACATGCACACTGTTCTGATGAGTATAACCTTTCATAATAGGATTGCTGTCATAGTTGCATGAAAGGTCGTTTTCTTGTTCCCAAATACTTTCCTGGACTCTTACAGCTCTTCAGTATGTGTAGTTATTGCCTGGTCAATTTCCTTGTATGTTCCAGCTCTCAAGGGAGTGGCAAAGAGGAATAGATAACAAACATGGAAAATGACAAGCCTATTTGGTAAAATAGGCTAATTAGTGCACAGCTGTCAGGGTTCGATTCCTGAGTTGTCAACTGAAAAGCCTGAAAAGAGTGGGGGAAAACAGTAAACATGGGTGTAGCAAAAGGTCAGCAGGGCAATTTCTTCTACTTAATCCTCTCCATCTTAAGTGTTAGCTGTGGGCACTTCTCAATGCACATCACCCTTTCAGCACTTCCCTGAGTTTCCAGAAAGGGCAGCCCCTCCAAGGTGACACTAGAGTCCTTTGAAGGAACTATCCGTGGCTGTCAGCTGGCTTTTGCAGTTTCAAGGAAAAAGGGCTACAGCCACAGCAAGCTCTAAACAGCTTGCATTTCTGTTGGGAAGTGGGGGACTCAATGCCAGTTGCCCCCAAGAACCTCCTGGGCACTTTTGGTGCAGCTGGCAATGGCAGCTGCTCCTGAGCCACTTGGCAAGAGCAGGAAGGACTTTGCAGAAAGATGGGGTCAGTTGCCCAGTTTCAGAGGACATACCAACCTATTATGTGTACAACAACTCCTATTAAAGTTTCAGGTTGTCAGTATGACTTGTTGTCCTCTAACCAAATACCCTGTAGGAATCAATTCAGGGTTGAATGATGTGTTGTCACTTTTTGTGAACCTAGTCATTATTTATCCTATGATGGGTTGGCATGTCCTCTGAACCTGGGTGGCCATCACCACTGTGGGTAAAGGAAGGAGCAAGATGGTCACTTCATAAGAATGGCTGCTCTTGCTGCTCTTGGAACACTTGCAACTTGAGAAATGAATAAGCCATGGTGGTTTGTATGATCATGTGAACTGACTCAGCATTTTTTTGGTCCTGTAAGATCTCTCAATATCATTTAAAGACTTGCTTTTTAACTTTTTAGGGAGGGCTGCTGCCTAGATGTGAAAACTGAATATTGCATCCTTGCTGCATAGCTTGCTTTTTCTTTTTATAGCACATGTGAGATATGTAGCCAGCTGAATATGAATAGCTTGAGAAATCCCTTCTTTCCATCAACTATCCCTCTTGCAATTTGCACATGAAATTCTGTCTGGGCACTGCTCAGCCAACATAGTTCCTAGAAAGTCAAGGAAATGGCCATTTCTCATTGATTACTTCCAACAAAACAGACAGTGGTACCAAGCAGTATGGGAGTCAAATAACTTGATTTAACAAGAGAGGGAGATATTGCTTGATTAATATTTTGACATTTTATCAGATAAATTTGCATATGGAAGAGAACTGGTTTTGAAATGTGGAAACATGCTTTCTTTGCTTTTAGATGTCATATGTGTGACATAGCATAGTCTCAATAGGAGGAAGTATCACTTTTAAGGACCACCAGTGATGCCTGCATTCTTGTATTAAAAATAATATTTTAAAACTCCAGGGCCCAATTAATTGGCATAACATTTTAATTAATTAAATGGTTTAATTGATCATCTGATTAATCAGTTCAACATTGTAACCTGACTTGAGAGGTATTCCATGTTTCCAGCTTCTCTTCCCCACTCCTGTAACTCCTAACCTTGTTTATCTGCAAGTGAATATAGGACAGGATTTGTCTGAATGGGATATGATAAAAATACAAAATTGTTACCTGCAAATGTTACAACATTATAAAATGTGATCCAGATTCTGCCCAGCATCTAGACTCTGCCAGTAATGTGTATTGGTACAAGTTACCTTTATCAAATAATTTGGATATTATTTTCTATTTTCTTTCAGGGAGGAGAGTTAGTAGCAGTTGTAAGAGGAGCAAATGCACCATTACTACAGAAAACCATTCTGAAACAGTTAGAGTCAGAAAGACTTGTTTTGGATCATGGAGCAGACAGAGTGGTGGTAATTGGATCCTTTCCCATTTAGTTGCTATTCCTTTTGCGATCATGGTCAGAATCATAGAGCTGGAGGGGCTCTTGTAGACCATCCAGTCCAACTTCCTGTTCAGTGCAGGAAATCCAGATCTAGAGCATCTCCAATGGAGAGCTGTTTAGCCTCTGCTTGAATATTTCAAGTGATGGCAATATCCCCACTATGGTAGCTGATTTCACTGTAAAATTTCTCTTACCATCAGTAAGTGTCTCCTAATGCATCGATTTACTCTAAATTAATTTAAGCCCAGTGAATTTAGCCTTGTTCTTCGGGGCAGCAGAGAACAGAGAGACCTTTGCCCTCCTCTGTGTGACAGCCTATCATGTATTTGAAGAACAATATCATGCCCCTCTCTGTCTCCTTGTTACCAATTTAAATATAATTTTCCAGTTGACTCTCTTCCTATGAAAAATTCCAACCTCATGCAATACTGCTCTTCTACCTGATTATTTCCATAGAACCACCAAATGAGGTTCCAAGCAAATCCTAAGGATAAAAAGGAAGGCTGAGAGTATCCCATATCCTTTAAAACACCCTTGCTACTTTTGGTTGCAGCAGGAGTAAATTCTGCCTGCCTGCAGAAATTCTTTCTGAATTCATCCTCCAACTGCACATGATGAAGGTGAATATTCAGTCCAAGATTTTTTCTGCAGCAGCACACTTTACAAAAGGAAAACGCTTTTATTCCAACTAATTCTGGGTGCAGAAGATAGTTCCCAAGTTTGATTTTCTTTCCCAGGCCCTTCTCCCTTGCTGAATAATGGAGATCCTTAAAGGGACCATTCTGAGATCCTTGGAGACAAGGATGCTGGTTCTTTGATGTGACCTGGATCTGGAATGGCAGTCCTTGGCGGGGGGGGGGGGGGGGGGGGGGGGGGGGGGGTAGTGGTTTGGGGGGGTTGGGGGTGGGGGGGTGGGGGCCTGGCGCATAGATTCTGATGGTCTCTGGATGCTGGGCTTATGCACACTTTCAGGGCCCTAAAACAGCTTGTCAATAAAGCCAGCTCTAGAAAGAGTAAATGTAATGTACCAGGGCATCACATACTGGAGAAGTAAAACACCACCAGCACCACCAACAACCTATTGCTACAAAAATCCATAGTGGCTTGCTAAAAATGAATCTTAATTTTAAAAAGTTCAAATGTTTGTGCTTTCTAAAACAGTATGTGACTAGCATTCTCTTATGCTGTGATGACAGATCCAGGATGAAGCCCTTCCTAAAGAAGAAGAAAGCACTATTGTTGGGATTGAGGAGGAAGAGGATGAGGAGGGGGAAGAAGAGGATGGTGAGGAAGAGGAAGCAGATATGTAATACGCGGTGGTGGGGCCAGCATGCCACCTCTCTACTTAATCTTCTCCTTGTATGAGAAGGTGAATGTTCCTGGATACTTCATTTTTTGTCATTGTTCCAGCTACTTCAAGAACATATTATTCAGTTCAAATGGAACATCTTCTGGGGCATGCAAATGAATTAGACTTGACTTGCCCAAGGACTTTGTGGAACTTTAAATACTGAAGGAGTTCAGTATGAGTGTTAAGGTGACCTTACTTTCTCTTCCTCCCAATATTCTTAAGAAAAGCAGTTGCACAGATTAAGAAATTAACCACAAAAATGGAAAGAGTATTTCATTTCAATTGCTTTACACTTTTTCAAAAGGCAGAAACAGTAAAATCAAACTAATTTCCTTCCTTTGATGTTATTTTCAAGATTTACATTGCTTCCTTCTTATGCTAATTTTCTTTCATTTTTCATCCTAGATTAATTAATCTTCTGGGACTGGCTCCCTGCCCTTTGGGAGATAATAGGAAAAAGCTTTTCTTAAAATAGAGTGAAAATAGTATATATGACCCATGGCCAACTCATTGCTGTGAGCAGGAGACATGTTTTTCAGTTAGAAGTGATCTACAAAAAAATACAAATGTCAAAAAGCCATACTGCCTATATCACCAGTATTGCATGTACCTGCCATATTTGAATCCAAGATAGCTCGCATTAAGTTAAGTTTTGAAGTATATACTTCCCTGAGTCAATGTTCAAGCATCTTTGGCAGCAGTTACAGCTGTGAGTCTAATTGGTTAGATGGGTCGTTGTGAACCACTCAGAACTTCAGCTATGGGGTGGTATGGAAATATAAGTAAGAAGAAATCTCTTTGAGCTTTGCACAGCTGGATCCTGCAATGGTCCTTCAGCCTTCCTGCCAAAACTACTCCAGCTCTGTCAGGTTGGATGGGGGACAATTAGTGAGCAGCAACTTTCAATTTTTGCCACAGATTCTCCATTGGATTGAGCTCTTGGTTTTGACTGGTGTCTTTTAAGACATCCAGATTCTTGTTTTTAAACCACTCCATAATTACTTTGGCTATGTGTTTAGGGTCATGGTCCTGTGGCAGGTGAACTACTGTCCCTGTCCCAGGTTCCTTGCAAAACAAAAGAGGTTTTCCTCTAGATTAGCCTTCTATTTGGCTGCATCCTCGATTGAGACCAGTTTCCCAGTCCCTTCTGAGGAAGAGCATCTTCTCAACATAATGTTGCTACTACCATTTTTCACTATGTGGATGGTGCTGTCAGGGCAATGAGCACTGTTGTCTTTGGACCACACACTGCATTTTGCAACAAGGCCAAAAGGTGCAGTTTTGGCTTCATCAAACCAGAGAACCTCTTTGCACAGGCTTGCTTCTTCAGAGTTACCACTGACATTTTGGTTGCTTCTCTAATACCTTCCTTTCCCAGTCATTGAGTTTGGTGGATTGCCTTCTCGAGGCACAGTCATGATTGAACCACATTCATTCCATTTGGTGATAATGGATTTAGTAGTGCTGGGTGATGTTCATAGTTTGGGATATTTTATATAATCCAACCCTGATTGGTGTTTCTACACAACACTGCACTAGAGTGGTTTTAATAGATCTTTGGTCTTCACGATGCTGCTTGTTTAGATATGTTCTCCAGCAGACTCTGGGACTTTCCCAAAAAGGTGTATTAATCTGAGATCATATGGCACTGGACCTACACAGAGATAGACTATATAACCATACTTCTAAAAGCAGTGGGTTGCACCAGAGCTTATTTAGGCATGTTATAGCAAACAGGGTGAATGTTTATGCAGCCAACAAATGCCGGATTGTTTTTGGATGTCCTATTTTTGTGCATCTTCACAGAGTTTAGTACCTCATATATATCAAGTGATAACAATGCCAATTAAATCCATTTCAGTTCCAGGATGTAACACAACAGAAAACTGTGAAAAACTCTGCAAGGCACTGTATTAGAATGATAAACAAACAAACAACACATATTTATCATGAAAACTGTCATAATAACTGTCTAATTCAACAACTGTCCTACACTGAATATATGTTACAATTATTTGCACAGTTCCAGCAGGCATACTTTGCATAAGCAGACCGTGAACATTCTTCAAAATATATTATGCATTTTATAGATTCTGCATTGTATCTTTTCTGCTTTGCTGTACTCAGATTATGCAGTTGACCCTGTTTTAATGTTTGCTAAAGACCCATATCATTTCGTGTTAAGGTAATCTGAATTCGTAATAGCTGGCTTGGTTTTCACTATGGTTGCTACATGCAAGATTGATGACATGACTTTTCTGACATGGGTATGTCTAGCAGTGACACATTTTTGCCCATTGTGATGGCTGGGTTTGCGTGACAAGAACCCACAGTGGCTTCTCTTTTTTTTTTTGAACCCCACTGTGTGATGGTCGCATGCCAAGTGATTTCCCTGATTACCCTTGTGGCATCTGGGTTGCCATGCTTTGTTGTGCAGGACCGGGGTAGTTTCAAAGCTGCTCCTCACCACACACGTTGCTGGGTTCAGATGACATGGAAACCTAAGACCCTGAGGTTAATTAAGCAAATGGTATGGCATGTGACCAACATGCACGGGACTTTGAAAAGAAGGCACCATCCCCCCCCCCCCCCGCCATTCATTGAGTTGCCAACAGCAATGTCTATAAATGTGTACTGGGCTATGATCACCTTGTGCAACTGATTTCATAATGTATGCAAGTTTCTGGTTTTGTTTTTCTCTTTGACCTGCATCTAATCACTGTTTTAATAAAGAAGTGAAACTATTTATGGATTTGGGTTTTTTCACATACATAATTACAGCTATGAGATCTTAATAGGAAGCAGTAGGATCATTTACTATAGAGAAACAATGATGATTTTATTGTGAAAAGAAAACTTCCCGCTAGAATGTCTGTAGGGATCTCTGAAATTCATGCACTTTCTCTAATCAAGATTCTTTTAAAACACCATGGATACCTGAGCTCAGGATATAGTCTCCAAACAAGGAGAATGATGAAGTGGTATTTAGCTCACACTGTTTTATCATACACAGCAGTACAGCAATTTTGCTCTGTACTTTGGTTCCTCCCAGTTTTTTGCTTTTGTAGAGGAAGAGAATGATTTGTTTCATATTTGGAAGAAATATTGCAGTATTCTGACCAGGTTGCACCAATAAAAGCTATCATGTTCTAAATTTTCTTTCCTCCAAATCAAAATATACATGTGAAATTTTAGATCAGAGTTGCAAATTTAAACGTACAGGCTTTTATTGTATTAATGAACTGACTATGTAATCCTCTGGTCCTCCTCCCTTGCTACCTGAAGTTTTTATAAGCACTTGTAGTACTGCATATGTTGTGTGTGTATGGGGTGTGTGTGGATAAAGTATGTGTCTCATTCATAAGGGAAATATTCTAAACAGCCCTTTGGTGCATGTATAGGTCCATTACGTTAAATGGGATCCACTCCTCGCTAAATGCAGCTAAGATATCTGCCTAATACTTTTTAAATAATTAAACAGATTAGTCGATTTAACCTTGCAGCCCTACACGAAACACTTATATTACTAACATCTTTAACTGATTGTGACAATACATTGTGTTCACTGAACGTTTGAGGCTTTTGAGTAGAACAACCGTTTAAATCACGAAACCACCACACACCATTGTGACTTACAAAAGTCCTGTAGTCGTTGAATTACAGCAAGATCAACGACTTTTTTGCAACAAAGTGCATCTTTCCTTGGCGCCAGAAGGAGGCGCTGTGGAAACGCAGCCCAGCTTATGAGAGCGCGGGCGGTCCCTTTAAGCCGACGCCAAGCGAAGAGGTTATGCTGGCTCAGGCGGAAGTAAATGTCTGGAGCGAGTAGATCGGGCGCGACGGTAGCGGTGGAATTGCGGGGCTATAGGAAGCCCCCGAGGCGGCGACGGTGAGGTGGGTTTCGGGCTTTCTGGTCTCTTCACTCAGCTTCCTTCGTAGCTGCAGGGGTTGGCGTGGGCAGAGTCAGTCCCTGGTTGCTGCTAGCCGAGCGGCACCCTACGCTCCGGGAGAGGCGGCGTTTTGGGGGGCGTGCTCTTTCCAGCGCTTCTGAAAGCCCTTGCTATTAATGCCCCGTGTTGCAGCGTCCTTAATGGGAAGGCAGGCAGGCAGTTGCGTGCGTGCGTGCGGAATTGGGAAAAACAATTCAGGAAACCCTTTTCTGCTAGCCTGTGCTGCTGCGGCTACCATGCAGTTCCTCAGAAGGGAGATAATTGACATATGGTGAAGGGAGTCAGGTCTTTCTCTTTACTGGTGGCTAAAATAGTAAAGGTCCGTTTGGTAGCATGACCTCAGGAAGGGTTGGAAGCAGGCTTGATGCCATATGTTGTGGCACTGGATTTGAATGTGGAATGTAGGAAGCTGCTGTTGCCCGAGACAGTCTACCTGATGCTGACAGCACTGGCCTGGTTTGCATGGAACCACGCTGAGTACAACGGGCTGTTGTTGACTTGTGGGTTGTTGTTATGTGTAAAACTTGCTCTGTAGTTTAACTATGGGCTGTTGACCATAAACAACCCAAGCCATGGGTCCTCTTCCTGGGTCATTTGCAGGTAACAGACCATAGACCATAGTAGCAAGTTTATACATAACTCATAATACATCAACACTCCGTGCTCAACAATGGGCTACATCATTGTAACATTCTGCGTGTGTCTCCAGGGTTTGAATAAGGAGTTTTTTCCCCCTAGCCCTACCTGGAGATGCCAGTAATTAGTCCTGGGTCTTTTTGTATGCTAAACATATGCTTTACCATCAAGCCATAACAAATGATTAGGCAGACTCACTGAATCAGGAAGCAAATGGTGGGATAGAAGAATCTTATGTTTAAACTTGAGAATTCAGAGCTGAACTGTAGGAAGTTGTATGCTTGTACATGATGTAGATCAGTACTAAATGGTTCTGATTCATTGATGAATTTTAGAAGAAGTGTATTAGAGTGCATGCCTTTCTTGGGTTTCTCTTCTCACTGTCAGGCTAGTTAGGGCTTTGTAGCTATAAATCAGCCTTCTAAAGGTTACAAATGCTTGGCACTGTAGTCCAACACATCTGGAGGGCACCGAAATGAGGAAGGCTTCCATGATATTGCCTACTCTCATACTGCTTCCAAGTGCCCTTAGAGAAGGCATCCTCAAATGCTCCGCTCCTCAGTGATCCTGCATTCACACTGCCATTGTCTCCAGCTGCTTTGCTCCACATCCTCATTGTTGATGTCACTTGCTCAACAGGTGGAGCTAGTGAGCAATTAGGCATTGGGGTCTATTCCACCTCTCCAACTGTATTATCTGAGTCAGAGTAATGAGCAGGTAAATAAACAACTTGCAATGGTAAAGAGGAAGAGGAAGTCTGCTGGGGGGGCAGTGTCTTGCTTGTGGATCCCTGCTGAGATGTGGGTTCTTGGCAGGTGCCTAGCCATGCCCACTTCTGACATGGGTCCTGATGTAATCACTTGTTTTAATGTTGGCAACTCTGGAAGTTTGTAGGAATTGTAAACCACAGTATATGTACTGATCTGTGTGATTTACAGGTCTTTGGATTCTGGAAGCAGATGCACTTTAAATCTCCCTTCTATCAGCAAGCTGCTTGACAGCTGGGAACAAGAAAGATGGAAGATGAGCTGACAATGGAGATTCAGAGCTTTGACCCAGATCAAAATCTTTGTTCTGTGACAAATGAATCAAGTCAGCAACCCTTGTGCCAGGAAGCCCCTTCGCCCAAGTTGTCTGTGAGTGAGCTGAGCAAGGAGTTAGAGTCAAAGAGTGAGCTGGTAAGGCTTTGTTGTTGTCCATTTTTGGTGGGAGCTGGTCCTATACTTTTCACAGCTAATGCTTTCTCTCTGCTCATTTTAATGCATACACTGTCTGCTTTCATATTATTAGATGCTCATGATATATTTTTATTTGTTGGAGCACTGCTTTCAAATTAATGTCATTGACTAACCCTTTATACAGAACATGAATATTCATAAATAACATTTGTTTTTGATCTTCAGATGTTTGGTAGGATCAAAGAAGTTGAACCATCTTCTAGAACACATGACCCTTTAAAGCAAGCAGTTGTCTGTTGGATTCAGACAAATTCCACTCTGGGAAAGAGGCTATTGTATAATTTTATTCATTCATTTTTATACTGCCCCATAGCCCATGAGGCTCTCTGGGCAGTTTATGGAGAATGCTGGAGTAATCCAGTATGCCTCCCCCAAAAGCCACTTTTAAGGTTTGAGGGATCTTCTGGAATAGTGTGGAATGTGGTGCATAAGTGAATACTACTTGTAGCAGTGATGTGCTTAATAGTTAACTACTCAAATTCTACCTGTATCTATGATCAGAGATGCCTTGAATTATAATGTGATTTTTTTGGGTGGAGGAGTTATAAAAAAAATCTACTGTGCTTAAGTTGTGGTTTCAAACGCTTCACACAATTCAAAGTCATAAAAAAGATGGTAGCTAAAAAGCCTGTCACTGTACCATCTCTGATTTGGGTGTTATGGTACTCTGTCCAAATGTCTGGCTTGTATTTTTCAGTTGGATGGTTATAGCTATTGTCATACAACTGTTATCTGTATTACCTTAATTAATCTGTATTAATTATGCTATTGAAGTTTTTTATTTTACTTTATAGGCAAGAGCCAAAGATCCATGCAATCTCCTTCTTAGCATCTGATTATCTAAGTTGAATGGAAAAAAGTCCCCCAAACCAACTAAAATGTTTTTAAATGAAATGGGGAGGTATGGAGTTGGGCTGATCATTGTGAGGAAAAAAGTTCTGGTGGACCATAACTGTTTCCAAAATGGCTTACAGTGAACCCAAAACTAAAACAATTCCCAATTAAATAAATTAAAATGGATCAGTAGATCAGCAGCCAAACAGAGTCATGGTTGGAACAGTAGAGAACTGTTCCTGGAACAATTGCTGCTCCCTAGAGTATCTTCTTGTGAATCTGAGGGATAAGGTGGTCAAGGGCCTTCTTGTCTAGTTCTCACATCTGGTTTTTTTGGTGTTTTGACTACCTCTGCAGTCTTGGGTTTTATGTATTTTGTTTTTCTCATCTTAGGTTTATGTTTATCTTTGGCATGTATGTATATTTTAAACTTGTGTTTAGTAGCATTCTAAACTTTAGAACATTAATTTGTTCTGATTATTTTTTATATATTCTCTTGTGCTGCAGCTCCCAATGGAAAATTTCCTTTAGAAAGCTTCAGTGTTCAGCAAACACACACACACACACACACACAGAATCAATATCAGAGGGAGAGTGATTAGGAACATGACTCATTTTACTGTGAAAAACTGTCATCCCACATATTAATAAAACTTTAAAATGTTCATTTTCTTTATCTAGATAGATGACAAAGAGTTTGATATTCCTCAGGTCGATACTCCTCCAACACTGGAAAGTATTTTAAATGAGGTGAGTTGATCGGGGCAGCTTGAATTTCCTTCACATACTACGCCATAAGTGTAAAGCAGAAGCACAATTTGCTGACACCCCCATTTGTCACTTCTTCATACTACCCTGGTAAATAAGAATGAGCCTGTAAAGACAAACGCACAGCATTGGATATTCTTTTCTGGCCATGTGTAGCTTTCTTTACTCACCAGTCTTTTTTATTTGGAGCTCTTGGTGAGCATAGAGTTGTCTTTAGCATGTTACTTGGCCTGTGGATGGAAAACCCAGGCAATACTGTTGTAAGTCATATTGTTAACTTAAATTGTACTATGATTTTATTGGAAGGTTGAGTAAGCTATGCAATACTGTGTGCGATGAGTACTAGCAAGCTATACATTTCTCTTTTTTAGACTGATGATGAAGAGGAGCCATTTGTTCTTGAAGATCCTTCTCTTCTAAACATTGATAACATTGACACACATTCCTATGATACTTCATCTGTAGCAAGCTCTGACAGTGGAGACAGGACACACTTGAAAAGGTAACCATTTCTTAACAAACGTCTTTCTATGGCAGCTTTGTGATGTAGTCTTCAGAGAAATCCTTTAAGAGTTACGTGAGCATGTGAGACCTATGATTACTCTAGTGTTCCTGTAATTGATTATTTTCAACAGTTGAACTGTGGATCTTTTACACGCTGGTGGTGGCAGATGGGCCAAATGGTTGTTAAATTGCATGGTATACAAGGCTCTTGTGACAGTATTGGTTCAGCACAGCTTTTTTCTCTGCTTGATCAAGCAAGTGTTTTCTGAACTTAGGTGCATGGGAGGAGGAGACTACCTTCAGTATTTTTCAATATCTCTCATCTGACTCTATATGATAGAGAATTTATGTTGAAACCACAGGAATTGCTCCAACTTCTTTCTCCATTCTTGGCTTTTCTGTTGATATTGATGATGAGATTATCTGACCTGTGTCCTCAGAGGGCCAAACAGTTCACTTGGACTTGAAATTGGTTTAAAATTGGACTCTTAGCATATGTTGACTCAAAGAATGGCTCTACCTATTTATTTTAAAATTGTTCCTTGGCATTTGTAAGAAGTTATTATTTGTTCCAAAGACATTGACCAAATAATAGGTGATTTTCTTATTCCACTTAGGCTTGAACATTCTCTGTTTATGTAATACTTAGGCAAAAGGCAGTATGGCCATTGCAAAGTATGGTATGGTAAGATTCTTGTCAGCTTGCAAGTTTTTAACCGGCCTGGTGCTTGGATGTCAATCTGCAATGGTTTTCCTGTAATTGTTTTGGGTACTTTTCTTTGGCTGAACAGAGAGGTTGTTTAACATGCATGCTTTTGCTAGGGCTTGGGCATAGTAATGATCTATTTGCATTATGCTGAAAGGTGAGACTTTGTCGCTATGCTGGTGGAATGGCCACTGTATCCACTGCATGCTCAGTGCAGGATGGGAAGGAAAAAATACTAACGGAAAATACAAACATGGTGGAAAAACAGTAGGACCCTCAGTGTCCCTGCAAAAACCATCAGTGCTCATCATTTGGGGTTTATGCCAGCAGCCATGCCCACATACTGTGTGTGTGTGTGTGTGTGTGTCACACTCAAGCCTGTGCAGAGCCAGTGAACTCACGACGACCAGGATATGCTCCCATCACACCCCTGGATCACTAGCATAACAACATGCAAGATGGTACCACAGTGCTGCCAGTCCGTCAGCCTCACGGACTCAGCCAGCAGTGACTCTGCTGCTTTTAGACTCCAGGCAAGGTTTCAGATCCCTCTGAACACCAAAATAGTAGGCATGAGGAGTGTATAACACAGAAAGACTCACACAATGCGGCATACACACAGCTCCCTGCATGGAAAACCTGCAGGGAGCACACAAAGTCTTCCTTGGGACAAAAGCTCAAGACTCATCCCAGGAGGAAAAGAAGCTTTTATCAAGCAGTCAAATGCATGGGCCAAGGGATGCTATAAAGGCAACTATATGTGCTGGTGGTGTCCAGTGGCTTGCTGGAATTGGGAAGTAACATGAAATTGGGAAGCAGGAGATGGAAGATTAAAGTCCACTAGGCCCAGGTGAGTAGTCATGGATCCAAGGGTAATGGAATATAGCATTAGAGTGCTCCCTGCTGCTGTCTGGGAGTCCGCCCCAAATCAACCACTTGCTGGAGAGTTTCAGTGGTGTATCAAAGGAATTGCGCTGTCACATATTGGAGTGATGTTTTTGGCATTCCATTAGTGTAGCAGGGCTTCTGTTGACCCCTGTCACCCTTGGATTGGTGGATCTTCAGTATCAGATCATGGGCTTAATTTCTTTTCCTTATTTCTGTGCTTTCAAACATGTTGAATAGTTCTCTATCAGAAAATTCAATACAGAGCAGCTTACTTGGTTATGCAAGTAGACTGATATATTGTCTTTACTTTACAAAGGAAGAAGAAACTTCGTGATTCTTTCTCTGTCCATGGCTCAGTTATACGATTGTCACTTTTGAAAGGAATTTCCGCACAGATAGTTTCTGCAGCAGTAAGTACCTTTTTCCTATTCAGGATTGTCTGTTGTGACAATGAACACCATAGACTTTGTGTAAGTGGGGAAGGGTGATAGTCCCTGGTACACCGTAAGTTTCCATGTGTACAATTCTAAGCACTGGCATCTCCAGTTTAAAGCATCTTGGTATTGGGGCTAGAAAACAACTGTGCCTGCGACCTTGAAAAGTCAGTGTTTGTGGAGTGTGTAGTAATAGTCTAGCTCAGCCTTCCACAACCTGGTTCTCCACCTGTGTGTTGGACTACAGCTCTCATCATCCTGGTTGGGAACATGCAGTTCTATGTATTTGTAGGGCACCAGGTTATGGAAGACTGTCCAAAATGAATCACTAGTATGACTCAGTTACTATTGACTCAGTATTGCAATTCCCAGATGTTCCTGCTAAAGAATATGTTGGGGCACAATATTTAGATTGACTCCTCTTTTCTGTATTCTATTGTTGCTCATTGATGTGTCAGGAAAGACAGTGGGACACACTGAAACACACCATGCAATGCTGTGGCTAAAAAGGAACACTATATTTGATTTGAAGTGGGGAAATTAATTTCTATACAACTGCACTTGAACAGTGTGCCAGGGAAATCTATGACAGGAAGTAGTTAAGATCATGATTCCAGTGAAAGGCTGTCCTTCAGAATCTTCTGGTGTTTCTGGCTATGACTATTCTTTTGACATACAGAAGGCTGGTCATGACTGCTGAAAATGTTTAACATGCATCCAGCTGAAATTCTGTAGCCTGATACAGATGTATAATTAATTGGGGCACCTTCCCACTTCCTTCCTGCCTTGATTCAGTATTATGTGCCAAATCCAGGTGATCTCCTAAAAATGAGCTACATTTTATCCAAATAGTGGCAAAGCCAGAAGGAGAATTAGGATGTGATGTCCACAGTGCCACACCTGGATTTCAAAATCCAGTTACACATAAAGCTGCATTGGACTCCTTTTAATTTGTGTGAAGCCAAGTCTACTCCAGAGTAGGTTATATAACCATATCTAGGGAAATCGCCACAATTTTCATAGTAGGTATGTATTATGTATGTGTCTAAGCTCAGAAAATGTGTGTTGTATAACATCCTAGGTTTTAGCATATCTAGTTTTAAAAAATCACAGAATTAAGGAACAACTCTGCCTGAAGTTCTGTCATTGGTATAGGAAGTACTGGGTTCAGTAGTGGCAACAGTAAGTCAAAGTAAAGCAAGGACTTGGGTAGAGATAGGTATGAACAGACATGCTAGAAACATCAGAAAAGTGTATTGCACATGCAGATAATCGTGTATTATAAACTCATATGTGTGGCCACTCCTTCTCTATCTTTTTAAAGCATTAACTGACAACATTTTATTTTATGTTCTCTCTTTCAGGCTAAAGTAGATGCTGGATTACCTACTGCAATAGTAAGTTTGTGAAAAATTTTGTTCCTTTTATTTATGCTCATTTTCAATGCTTGGTTCAGTCCTCTTTCAGTATTAATTGTTTCTAAAGGATAGTCTGTCTTAATCCTGCCCTGCCTTTTTTCTAAAATTATGTTACTTAGATTAAAATACTGAGTGAATAGAATGTGTGATTAATCCATATATCACAGTATTCCAACAATCACAGTAGCCTGTATTAAGATGACTCAAGCAAAAGGACATAATGTTAACTTGTACTTTAATATTACAAGTGAACCTTGGGCTTATATACTTCCCACCTAATTTCTTCTCCCCCAGAACATCTGCATAGAGATTTGAAGTGATCATCTTCATTTTTAACTCTAGCACTATCTCTAAAATGTAATTTCATAGAAATGTAGTTCATTGTGATACATTCAGGCAGTCTGTGGTTAACAATGGCTTACTGAAAAAAGCTAGCTTTGAGCAATGATTTATGAAGCTTTAAAAATGTTTTTATACAGCAATACAAAACCAACCAAACTGCACCATTATAGAAGAGAAATAGCACAAAATAAAATAGAACATCATGATTTTGAATCAAATTTTATTTTATTTTTTTCTTTAAAGCATTTATATGGAATGCGCTCCCCAGAGAGGTCCGCCTGGCGCCGTCATTATTTGTTTTTCGGCACCAGCCTAAGACCTTTTTATTTAAAACTTATTTTAATTGTTTATTTATTTCTTTAACTAGTTTTTTTTTAAAAAAAAATTAAACCGAGAATGCACTGAGGCTTTATTGCACTGGGGTTTTATTGTATTGTTATTTATTGATGTTTTGTGAGCCGTCCCGAGGCTTTATTGCGATGGGGTGGCATAGAAATGTTTTAAATAAATAAATATACCATTTGATTAGCACAATGCTCTCAAAATGCCTTACAGAATTTAAGACAATCCATAGCATTAGTTACATATACTAAACATTACATATACTAACATAAACATGTGACAGAACTTACTACCACTGTTAAACAATTGTGCATAGATTTCAGCAAAGGCACCCTAAATATCATATAATCAATTTGTTGACAATGCCTAAAGGCCACCACTTTAAAAAATGAAAGTTTTGATAAATCCTCCACTCATTGTGTTATTACAAGTGGCTGTTTGTTCTTCTAGATTTGTAATATTAGTCTTTTAACTATTAAAAGGGAGCAGAAAATTCATTTTTGCTGACCTTTCATTAAATTCTAACATAGGTAATTAAAAGCATGTATATTCTCGAATGTTAAAGAAGTTTCCCTTATAGGAATTATTAAATCTTCCCAAAAGGAATCTGCCATTGGATATTGCCGAAATAGAAGTCCCATTGGCCCAGCGTACATAATATGGCACACCCCAGAGCTGGTTCTTTTTCAGCCAGGCTTGGGGATGGTGATCTGAAAGTAGGGGGACCTTGATTCAGTCCCTCTGTCATGGCGTAGGCCATTCCTTGCTAAGATTTAGACTGGTGGCTTTTCCCTTTCCACAAGGGTGGGGTCCCTCAAGATGATCTGTGTCTAGAGGCTAATAGATCTGGATGGTTTCCACAAGGGGATTTTCCAGCTGATACGGTCCTGTTGAAATCCTGACTGAACTCTGGAACATGGAGATTACTTAGTTGACATGGTCACCTCAGAGCATTGTCTCTGTGGTAGGGCTTGCGTGTCACATCCTGGAGCTGAGAGTGATGAAACAAAGTAGGATCAGGACTATGTGCCAATGGAGGAAAACTCCTAATGGATTCACTTGAGCCATGGTAGGGAACCTGTGATCTTCATCTGAAACCTTCCTTTGACTGCCAACTTCAAAGGATGCCTGGAAAGAGGCAGCAAGGAGGAGGGCCTTCTAACATTCCTTGGCAACTGTGTTCTGTTTTACTTTATTTTATATATACTTTTTTCTTTCTGTACTCTGTTTATGTTAAGAAAATAAAATGAATTTTTAAAAAGGGGGGAGAGGAGGGCCTTCTTTGTGGTGGCTCCTCAATTCTAGAATGATCTCTCCATTGAGGCCTGCCTGGTATCAATATTATAATCTTTTTTGTGTCAAGTTAAACTACTCTCTCTTCTTAGGCATTTAATGGGATATGTTATCTGTTTTAATCAGGTCTAGTTTTATTGAAGCAGTTAGATATCTAAACTGTTTTAAATATTTAAAATCTATAGGAATTTTAACCTGCTTTATATTTGTATACTTGTATACTTGTATTTTGTATTTTTATTGTTTATATATTGTTATTGTACTTCCAGAGAGCTTTAGAGCACATATATATCTTAATAGCATATATTGCCATGCAGTGATAGCCAGCAATTTATATTCAGCACACACAACAGAAAATGACTGAAAATTATTTGCAGGAGCCACAAGCTGATCCAGAGTTTAAAAAAAAAAAAAAATCAGTCTGTCCATTCAAGTCCATGAAACAAACATTGCCAATTTTAAAGTCTAGATTTCCCCATAAAGTTCATTTTGCATGTGAAAAATCTGTCAAGATTGAATTGACATGAAAATACACACTGCCGCTCTCTAGCTGCCACAACCAGGGTGGACACATTATATATTTTGGCATAGCTGGAGCCCCGCTTGGGGAGAGAAGATACCACAGCTCACCAGGGAGAAGAATCCAGATGGAAAAGACTAAGGTCTAGTGCAAGTTAACAAATGTTATACAGGGGCATGAATTCCCCCTTTTTGAGCAAAAGTTGCATTTTTTGCAAGGATATTCTTGGTAGAGTGGGACCTCATAGGAAATTAAGCATTAAATTTATGGAAACTTGCCAGATAAAACAAAGCATTTGCAATATTAGATTAATTTTAGGAATGTTCACCATATCCTATAGGCATTATTTCATGGATACCCATGATGTTCATCTGTAGATATAAATGTACATTGAGATCACATTAATCAGCTTATTCAAAATTAATAATTCGTGATATGTCTCTTGGGACAAAGCTTCCCAGATACATCATAAATTTAACAAAGTCTTAAGAGCCATGATGTATGAAATGACTTGTTTCAGTAACCTTAGTTAAGATTAATCGCAGTTTAGATTTCAGATGCAATGCTAAACTGTTGCTAATCAAAAACTGAAGTATCTCTGATCACCTGCCTATTCCAGGGGAGAGGGAAGTGCAGGGACCCATAGTTTAACACTAGGTTAAAACTAGACTGGATAGTAAGGTTTAAGAGGGGAAAAACCCTGCTTGCCACCTAATGGATGTTTGGATAATGATAATCACCATTTCCAAGTGTAGAAGAACCTGTGTCCACTCTCCTTATGAGATAATCTTGTATCAAGACATGTCTCTGATACAGCCGCTGCTCAGAAGCTGCTGTATCAATAGGCAGAAGCTGCTCAATCTGTAACTGCTGGTTTCAGTATGTGCTGACTTAAAATGTTGACAAATCTGAGTACCAGTTTATAGCTGTCTGTACTGCTTCAAGTGTCTAATACTTAGGTATTTAATTTCCAACCTCCATTTTGGCTTCTTTAGACAGCATCAAGTCTCATTGCAGTTGGAACATCACATGGTCTAGCACTGATATTCGGTAAGTAATGGTAATCTTTGTTAAAAGAGTCACTGTAAGTTAATTTCCATGGAATACTCTGTGTATGAACAAAATTATATTGATTGTATTTGGTTATATAAATAATAGCAATATTCCTGGTTGTCTGTTAGTGTAGACTTAGTGAGACATACAAAAAGTACTACTTCGATCTAGTAACTACCTTTTAAGACCTTGTTGATTTACAGGCTTTCTGCAGTAAAAAGAAGTTTGTGTTAAATATGGCAGCTCCTGCCTATTGCTCCTGTATATGGTATTTGAAACACATCTTGTTTGGGTATACTGTTTTGCCTCTTATTACTAAGATCCAGATACACTCCATTTCCAGTAGTATTAAATGCATCCCCAGCACAAACTTATTTGTGATGGGCCTCCTGCTGAACAGAGATGTTTTACTGGAAATAACAATGTGTTGTTTCTGTCTCCTTTATTTCTACATATTGATTTCTGGATTTTCTTTTCCTTTTGACTTTTTTCCTCATGGACTGAGAAGGCAAAGGTATAGTACTGTTGCATTGTGCATGTAACTTGCATGAACAGTTGCACATTTTAATTTGGGCTGCAATAAAGGTCTGAATTTTGAGACAACAGATTATACTTAGGAATATATAGTCACTGAATACAGTCATTTGTGGCAAACCCTTTATATGGAACTTTCCTGTGCTGGGAAACCTTGCTGCAGAAGAGACGAATCTTTTATCTGTGGCTTTTATAACTGCTTGTAACTCAGAACGTTTTGCTCAACTCGACAAAGACTAACATTTATTTTAATAGCCACTATTTAATTTGCTGTTTGAAGGTCATACATTGAAGACTGTCACCCAGGTTTCATTTTTAGCATGGCTGTTTTGTGCCAATTGAATATCCCTGTCTGTTGGGACCCATCATGAAGCTCTGTATTTATATTTATTAAAAAGGTTTTTGTCTCTTACAACTCAGTTAGGGCTCAGTTTTTTTTCCCTTCCAGAGGCTTATAGAAGGTCACTCAGGGAACTTAAGAATTAGATGGTTGCTGGCTAAAGTGTAGAAAAGCTTGTTACATATAGGGTAGCTATATATACATTGGTAGCAAGGCAGCTAAGAACTATTTTTATAACCCACAGGAAAGTTAACTGTCAAAGGAATTCCACACTTTAGGTACAAGCCTATCAGCTGCTCCCTTGATGCATGTGAACCCCCAGACTTGGAGCTTGATGAGCATTTGATGTGGAGCAGGAGGAGTCGCAAGATTGAACTCTGCCTCCCCAAGGCTCCCACTTGCATTTTCATCAGCCATCTAACTGAGGCACTTCAGAGAGGCAAGGGAGGAGGCCGAAGTGCTTTTAGGGTACATCATGTCCTGGCATCCCCAGTGTCAACCCCTCCTTCCCCATTTAGCCCTTCTTCAAGGTCAGTTTCCTCAGAGAGGAAGCCAGCTTGGTTTTTTCTATGCTGGTTTTTGCATGGGTTTGGAGCATAGATGTCTGGCCTTGGAACTTGAAGTATCCTGTGCCACTCCTGGCAATGTCTAGGGGCCACAGGATCATTCTCTGAAATGCTGACAGAATTTTATGTTAATTTATTTTCATTAGTTCTTTCTATTTTAATATGTAGAATGTTTAAACATATTGTAATGGCCATTGGCTAAAAACAGTTTTTTGAAAATATGCAGTTCTCTGTGTTGAGAGAGAACCCTACATTATGTGAAGGGTCCCCTTAAAGATATTCTGTTAAAGTTTTCTAAATCTGTAGTAAGAGTGCTCTGCCAAATTTAGGAAAGTAGGCTTTCCAGTGGCAATTGACCTCTAAAAGTGCAAAAGCCTTTCTAGAATCAATGTTCTGAATATTTATCATGATGGTAATTTTCTTTAAAAACTCAATAGGTTGATGCAATTGATATTTAATGGAGCCTGCATGTTAAAAAGGTCATTTTTAAGAGTGTATGCTATAATATTTTCAGCAGTAGAAATGCATAAGCATTCTCGGTTTATATGAAGCCTGAAACCTTCAAATCGCTGCTTAGAACTTTAGCTGAGTGTCTGCAGACTTTTTCTTCACGTCATCCTAAAATGGTGATTTTGCAGCTTATTGTATTACATTTCTATACCATCTGTAGCAGAAGCTCTATGGGCAGTTCTCAAAAAATGTAAGTTACCCATCCAGATTTCAGCCAGGTTTGACCCTGCTTAGCTTCCAAAATTAGGCAGGATCAGGCACTTCAGGCTATATAAAAGTTACCTAGATAGATCCTGGCATCTTATAAACAACTATCTGTCTATCTAAGATGCCATGACTTCTCCCTGCCACCAACCCTGGTTCTTTTCTTTTTTCTTTTTTAATATTTTGCTTGATGAATAAATCTGGAAATCTCAAAAGCTTGCACATTTTGCAACTTTTGTTTGACCTAAAACAGTATTATACTACATGGATTTTGAGATCTTGCTTATGGCCAACTCAACTTTGGTGAGTTTCTTTTGGAGAGTTAGAACTTCCCCAGTGTTTTGATGTGCACTATAGCCCAATCCCAAGGAAGTACCCCATTTCCATGTATACATATAAATCATTTCAGTTTTTGTTCGGGGTTGCACAAGGACAACTGTACAGATTAGAAGCCTCGCTTCTTGTCCCTGATTAGATTTTGGTGCCAGTTCTTTGGACAAGAAACAGAACTACTGTTTTGGGATGTCTGCTGTTATATGCTATGTGAAGTGTTTATGGGCATGAGTGACTTACGCTCTGTGGATTTAATTTAAAATTTGTGTGGATATATTGTTATTTCATGTCTGGACATCTTTACTTCTCAGCGCTGGCAATTTGCAAGAGTCAGTAGGTTGGAACCTACCTTTTTTTGGGACCAGTCAAAACTGCCTGTACTACGCATACTGAGTCAGGATTGGAGTTTCCACTATACCTTGAATGGACTATAATTTTATTGTTTATATTGGTGTGGGAAACTGGAAGGACTGGGAGCATATTTGTACCCTGGATCCACCTTGTTGGCCACTCCCTGGGTGGAAAAAAGGCCACCACATTGGCGACAGAGTACCAAAAGGACCACATTGTAGCTTTTCTGCAAGCTAAATGTGATACTTTCCATGTACCATAGTCACAAAGGCTTTTTTTTTTTTTTCATTTTAGAGTGGTGGGTGTGGTGGGGCTCCATGTTGTCTATCTCTGGTTCCATAATCTTGACTAAAGTTTTAAAAAGCACACAAGAAATATTCATAAGCACAAGCATTTGGGAAAGGAGTGGGAAAAGGAAGTAAATATTTATGTCAATAATGATGGCCATTCTTTCCTACAGTTGTGCTAACATTCATGACTTCCTGATACAGATCGGTATACTTGATAAGATTTCTTGGTTGGTGGGGTACAGAAAATCTGATAAGTTTAGAATAATGCTATGATTTCATAAGGTCTGTGAACTAGCAGGGTAAGCTTAGTCTAGTTGGATTTTCAGGCTTTTCAGCTTGTATACGTGTAATAAAAGAAATGCTTCCTCTAAATTCGTGTATTAATGGTGTATTTGACCTTTTTTTTCTTGGTTGAGTCTCTCTCTATATAGATCAAATATGTGTGAAACACTGTAGTTTGATTTCAGCATCATCTCCTTAGGATTGTCAGTCATTGCAGCCAGAGCTTTAAATGCAGCATTGCATGATATAATATTCCATATGTGACTCTGCCTAACACCCTACAGGAAGGCAATGTTGGCCACTGACCTTAAGTCTTCTGGGTCCAGCATAGGTTTGCTCAAGAATGATTGAATTATTGCCTCTCTTTAAAGGACAAGGGCCACTCCTGTTCTCAAATAAGTTTTTGCTGTCTCCTGGACACAGCCATCTCTTCCTCATCTGTCATGGCTTACTAAATCTAGCCAGGAACAGTTGAGCACATGAGTGGTCAGTCTTGATCTAGCTTTATTAAGTTATTTTCATAGCATTGACTACCCCACTCCTCAGTTTTGTGGGCCTCATTGGCTACCTGTTTACTTCCATTTTAGAACTTTAATTCCTGTCTCTTAGCTTGAAATAACATTATTTGTTGCTCCTCATCTTTCATTTGCCACAAAAGTTGCTTTCACCTTGAAAGTTCATGGGGCAAATTCTTGATTAGTAAGAGCCATATTTTGTATCTCAGATCTTTTGTTGCGCTAACCAGAAAAGGTCACAGGGATGATGTGAGCTTACAGCAGGTTGCCAGTTCTCCAAACCATGGTTTGGTTGACTGAAAATGTAATGTCTGGAAGACTGTCCAAGTGTTTGCCTGCAGCAGGTGAGAGCTAAAACTGGAAAATACAGCTGGGCATATATGCAAGCCTGCTCCTTCAGTATCTTTGCTTATTTATGATATCTAAGATCTCCAATTGGTGCTGGGAGGTGCTGGGGCTTGCATACATGCCCACTAGTTGGGCCTCTCATATTGTAGGCAAACATTTGCAAAGGGTTTGAACTGACCCAGTTCAAAATGTATGTATAACTGCCCATGTTTCTAGAACTGAAGTGCTAATCTATAATATTTAATCCATAACATGTTAACTTTTGTTTAGATCCTAACCAGGCTCTTCGGCTTTGTTTGGGCAGTACTGCAGTGGGAGCACAGTATGGGGCTATATCTGCTCTTAGTATCAACAATGATTGTTCAAGACTACTTTGTGGCTTTGCCAAAGGACAGGTAATATTTATATGCAACACAATTCTGTGCTTGCTTACTTAGAAAAAGGACCTGCTGATCTCAGTGGACTTAAATATGTTTGCAGAGAGTGCTGATTTTCTATGTGTAGTTTTGACAGAAAGGCAACACTGCCTTTCTAATGGGACTTGTCTGTAATGCCTTTTGTTGTCTGTTGTCAGAATGCTGTTATTTAAAGTATATTAAGAAGTTGACAACTCATTTATCCTACGGTGTACTTTTGTGTTATATGTGGGAACTTATTTTAATCCCAGCATTTTACATTTTCACTTTTTTAAAAAATCTGTTTCTTATGTTTTGGATAAAAGCAACCTAGTATGTCAGTGCCAGAGTAGAAGGCAAAGGCTAGATGGAATAGGTCCATTCTATTTGTTTATTTAAAAAGAAAGTTTATATTCTACTTCCCAGCAGAACATTCAGTATTTTCTTTAAACACTGGGTTTCCATATATGGTTTCCTGAAATCTGGGTTTTATTGGCATGTGCACTCACCATGTTAACAAACCATGGTTAACTACAAAGAACACAAAATGAGAACCTGTTGGGTTGTGAACTCTGAATTGTTTAAACCATTGGTTGCCATTATGTCTGAACCCAGAACTGTGGGCTTTTCATGACTGTTTCACTAGGCAAGAGTGGTAGTACTTTGTTGCTGTAAAAGCTTTTGGAATACAGGAAGGGAACAGATGAAGGAGAAAGGAAATAATCCAGAGATTGAGAAAATAAACTCTGGTCTGTTCAGCTATTTTCCAGATGAACCATGAGTAGGACAACTGTGGGCTTAATAAAGAATTGGTTAGTGTTATGTGTGAGTGAGGTCTTTTGTGGAATTAATTTTTAAGATGGCGGGAAAATAATTGCCTTGTTCAGGCATGATTTGGCAGCTGGGGGAAGTCTGAGGATTTTACATTCATTAGCTTCCCACTTGGGCTCTGCCATTTCTCTCTTTCTGAGTTATCACTGTGGTTTACTATAGTGTAATAATTCTGATTCCTGTTAACTTGTGTAAGGAGCTGAATGTAGCTTGCATGCAAATCAGAAATTGAGTCTGGAATTTAACCCTGGTTCCCAATCCCTGGTTTGTCCTCAAACTATGTTAACAGCAATTTGTTATCTGGCAATTATACCAGCCCAAACATTTTAGTCAATATTGTTATTCCTAGCTAAGAAAGAGAAGAAGAAGTATGCCGTGTTTTCCCACTTGCCAAATCATGGCAAGCAGGGGGAGTAGGGCTTAATTTGTACCATTTCTTGAAAATTTGTACAGTGTTGTTTGTCTTCTGTACTTGGAAAATTAGGAGAAAAGGGGATGCTGATTAGTAACACTTGGCTACCTTTCAAAATAGTCTTTAAAGAAAATTAATAATGATATGCTTATAGATTACAATGTGGGATCTGGCCAGTGGAAAGCTTTTGAGATCCATAACAGATGCTCATCCTCCAGGAACAGCGATTTTGCATATTAAGGTAAGACATAGTCATTTGTTCAGTTTTCTGACTTGTCCTTTCCTGTGCTAAAAAGTGCATACAATTGTGTGAGCTCATTCTGATGCTAAAGAATTCTGCATGCTTAATACAATTATTCTGCTCTTTCTGAACCCAGAATTTGCATTGCATCTCAGCTGATACTATCTGGATAGAACCTGGATATGGTGTAAAGGACAGTGGAGAGTGAAGACACTTAGGGAAATGGAAGAGAAATTGATGCATCATATTGGAAAAATCAGACTGTTGTAAGGCATTAGGTTACTAGGTAGTTTTGAGCAAATTGAGGTTAATTTGGTTTCAAGAATGTGGTAAAGGCAAATTGAAGGAGGTTAAAGAAATTAGCAAAAGACATCTTTCTGCTATTTTTTAGTAGTTACTGTAGACATTTTCATGGGGAAAAAAATAACCTTCTGCTCAGTTTACAGATGACCCAACTCTAGCAATTTGCAATGACAGTGGGGGCTCAGTATTTGAACTGGCATTCAGGTAAGTACTCTATTTTCTTAATCCAATGTGTATGCCACTACAATAGCCCATATCTGGGCTGTCAGTGCAGCTCACAACAATTAAAACAACAAAACATTTTAAAATCAGACATAAAATTAACATATGTTCTACATTTTGATTTTGTTCAAATATCAGAATTACATAAACACATTAAAATAAACAAATTTAAATGCAAATAAAACAACCCAAATATAATAATAATTATAGGGCCAGTGAAAATCAACCCCTAAAACTGATTATTAAAATACCCAGAGAAGAGGAATGTCATTGCCTGGTGCTGAAATGATAGCGGTGATGGTGCCAGGTGCACCTCCCTGTGGAACCTATTCCTAAGGGTCAGTCCTTACATCTGTCTTTATTGTAACACAAACATACTGAAAATTAAATCCTTACACTCAAGTACTGTACTTTCTAAGAACTGGAGGTGAAGTATTCCAAGTAATAGTTTGTACTGCAGTTTTCAAGGTTAAGGGATGGAGAAAAAACATAAGTAGGTGGTTTTGGGGAAGACACATTTCCTTGTTCTCTCAAGAATCTCCCTCTCATTACTCATCTTCAGAAGCTGCTGCCTCTTCAGAGAGATATCTGTATATCACAGAATCCTTACATAGCTGGCACGCTTGTTTTGTATTAGCATATTACTTGATGGTAATTCACATGTCTATTAGCCATGGTGGCTTTGCAGCCCCACACACACCCCGCCCCGAAGCAGTCATCAGTGTGCACTTGCTGGGAAGCAAAGACCCAAAACTGCCATTGCCTTCAGACCTTGTGTGAGGGTTTCCCAGATATAACTTGCTGGCTTCTGTGTGAGGAAGGAAGCTGGATTCGATGGCTCTTTGGTCTGGTGTAATGGTTACAGTCTTGGGGTAGGACTGATGTACCCCAGATTTAAATCCCCACTTAGCCCCAAAGTTCACTGGGTGATCTTCAGCAAATCTCATGCTCAGCCTCACCTACCTCATAAGGTTGCTGTGAGGATAATGCAGAGAATCAGATATGGAGCTCTGCTCACCTTGGAGGAAGAATAGGATAATAATGTTTCAGTAAATTGCTGTGTACATGTGTTGGGAAGCTGTGATTTTCCAAAGAATCCCCACATGTATGTATATTCATAGCATTTTAATGCAAGTTAAGACCAACATGCTGATTCTTTGTGGATATGGCTTTTGTGTGGACTACATATAAAATGAAATTGAGTTGGGTTCATTGGTCTCAATTCTGTGAGGATGTTGCTACAGTGATGTCATATGAAATATCAAACATTTCAGTGACAACCATGGGCTTCTGTTGCTGCCTACTTCTAGGACTTACTATCTGACATCACCTGAAATAGTTAACATAAAGAGGAGGGCTAATTCTGTTTTGCTTTCTAATCTGTTCCATCTCGAAAGAGTGGGACAAAACAACTCTTACTGAGATTTTGCTTTAAAAGTGGCAATATAAATTAGGTTTAAAACATATAAATATAAACAATACAACAGTGTAAAAGATGCTACTAAATAATTGTTTCTGCACTAGCTCTGCTTCTTGTCAGTGTTTCTCTGTAGCTTCCCAGAGTCATCTTGGGACAGTATGAAAAGTAGCTATAGAAAGCAAAACCACAAATGGTCTTTGGTGTTGGACTTGAAATGTCGGTTGTTGTACTATGCCTGAAAAGGTGTGAAAAAAACACTTAAATCACAAGATTTATAGTTGTCAATGCATAAGTTACTGTAGCATATTGTAGCTTTTTCTTGTGTTTTGTACTTTGCTTTCAGGAGAGTCATGGGCGTGAGAACATGTGAGTCACGCTGCTTGTTCAGTGGTTCTAAAGGAGAAGTTTGCTGTATTGAGCCATTACATGCAAAGGCTGAGCTGAGAGACCATCCCATCACCCAATACTCTTTACTTGCAATGGCTTCTTTAACAAAGGTGATCCGTCTTATATGCATGGTGTCTCTTTCTAAAATACTAGAAAAATGTTGTCATCCATGGTATTTACTGATAACAATGACAATAAATTGCAGATCCTTGTCATTGGATTGAAGCCATCTCTGAAAGTATGGATGACTTTCCCTTATGGTCGTGTGAGTAACTTTACAAATATTACACTTTTGTTCAGAGTGCTATGATAGTGTATGAGGCCAAATTAGGGAAGATATTAGCTTATAAGTCTAAAACACTTTTGCACAGCTGTACTAGAATGCTGTGGGTTTGGTGGTTCTTGATAAAAGCAGAACCTGAAAACCTTGGGACTGACTGAAGCAGGGGTGTTGAACCTTTTTCAGCCCATGGCCCAAATTCCATTTCAGAGAAGCATTTTGGAGTCACATTCCACTGGTGGCAATGGAAAAAGGCAAAGGGACAGTACCCTCAATACTAAAAATACCAGCGTATTTTAGCTTAAAGCTCTTACTGCCAGTAACTAAACCTTGGGAGAGGCATTTCAACTAGGAATGAGAAGATCAGACCAGGATTCAGGTTTCTCATGGTCACTGGACTTCTTTCCCATGATTAGTCCTGTCCAGGAAGCAAGCTGAGCTCCACAAATGCTCAGGAACTCCAGCAACTTCTTTGCAAAAAAATCACCCAGTATGCATTCTTGTGCGTAGTATGTAAAGTACACAGGTCACATGTGTGGCAGTGGAATTCCATTTGCACAGTGGGCATGTGTGCAAGCTGGCCTTGTTGCCTTGAGGACTCACCTCCTGCCTGACATCCACATGCATGCTTGGCCAAGGTGGACCTAGGACAGAGTGAAAGTGAACTGGAATCTGGGGAGCTGAGCTGAGCATATCCTGCCTCCAAATTAGATTCCTCACTTATTGCTAATTTCAGCCTTTAGGATGGGAAAAACTGCATAAAAGCCAGGAAAGCACAAAACAATAGGTAGTTGGGAGAAAGAATAGGAGCAGGGAAAGAATATGTAGCCCTCCAGGGAGACCCAGGAAGCCTTATTTGGACCCCAAGCTTGAGATTCAGCACATTTGGACTAAAGCAACAATCTTTCTACAAACACTGAAAAGCTAGTTCCTACTAAATTGTAGAAACCTGTTTGCTGTGAGACACGTGTTTGACGTCTGTACTTTTCTGGTGGAACACTCTCATCTAGAGGTTCTTTCTTGATTGGTAAGGTGGTTATTTTCCAATTATGGGCACTTCTGTATGTGATCAAGCTGATAATGTCAGAAATTGCAAACTGAGCAAAAGCTTTAGCAAACCTTGATTATAGGTCAAATATTTCTTTGTAACTCTCTATAGAATGGATTGTATAATTGAACCAGCGAATTTTCCTGAAACAAAAGTTAAATATATCCAGTATGAAGCTAGTACATCCTTCCTTATTCAGACAGCACTTTTTCTTTTCACTTATATAGTGCTAACATCTAGTATCTTCTCCAGATGGACCCATCCAGTGTTCCATTGCTGGCATGGTATTTTGTTGCTGTTCCAACATCTGTGAATCCTGTCCTTGCCTTCTGTCGAGGAGATGTTGTCCATTTCCTTCTGGTAAGCTTCCTGTTATCTATAAGCTTGAAGATTTGGATTTTAAATATCTATTCTTGGCCATTAATTTAGGGTACTCGAGATTATGGGATAAGAATACTTGCCATTTGAGGTGAATTTTTATGCTTGCTAATTTGTTTAAAATTCCAGCATTTCTAGTACAGTCCTGTTAATTCAGGACAGCCATAGTGCCATTTATTACCTTTTAAAATTGTCACAGAATATATTCTTCTATTCATTTAAAGGGGTTCTTTCTTAACAGTTCTTCAGTGTTGTGTTTCTCAAACACATTGAAGTAAACACAAGAATATGTTTCTAATACATTTTATTTATTGTAAATTTATAACAGGTCCAACTTATCTTCACCTACATTAATTTAAGATGCAGATAATACTATTTCAGATGCATGTAATATTTCCATCTAGAATTTATGTAGAATTTTGTCACCCTGCTTTTCCACTGATATATTCAATAAATAGGAGCTAGTTTGTAATCAACAAATCTCCAACTTGCACTCCCTTCGACATGCTCAATTTGAGCCAACTTTTCTGGTAATGCCATGTCCCAAATCCTGTCCAGCCACTGCTGTTCTGATGGGCCATCATTTATCTTCCAGTCAATCGCCACTTCCAAATGAGCAGCTCCCAATAAAAGTCTTAAGTCTTGTAGTTGATGTTCATTTGTGCTAGTGAATACGAGGCATCCCAGCAGTTGACCGTTTGATTTGTTATTTTGTACAAAATACAGGGCACCACTATGCAAGAACCTCTGGACACCTCTCTTGTTAGTGTTCCTTTGCACCCACAACTCCTCCTACATACAGGAAACAGCTAATCCCAGACTACCATATTATACACAGAAAAAGATGATACTTTTTCTTAAAAATGGAGGGGCGTCTTATACATGGGGGACTGAGAGGAGAACCGTGGGCGTGCTGGGGGCAGGGGGAGACTGGCGCGCACAGGTGGGAAGGAAGCGGGCACGCACATGTAGCACTTTGCTCGCTCGGAGATCGGTAAGAAAAGTGGGGGGCGTCCTAGACATGGGGGCATCTTATAGTCAGAAAAATATGCTATTTGATAATGATAAAATGCCATTTCTGTGCAGTTTATAAAGATACTTCATTGATTTATGGAGACTAGTTTTGAGAAAGTGGAGGATGCCCAGAGCTGTTTTGACAGGGTCTCTACAGCTATGTTCACATTTAAACCATGTGAACTGCCATAACTATCCTACATAATCCCTCCATGAAAAGACAAAGCAGCATTACTGCACATGCAAAAATATTCAAAAGTGATTAACAACTTTGAGGATCCCGTTTCAACTATTGTGTAGAAGTGGCAGTCTGGATCTTTTGCATCCACCTCAGCTTTTTTCCTGAGGAAAATCTCTTGTAAAGTTACTGTAGTAATTTGCCTCCCCTGAGGAGCAAGTCCTGTGGATGGTGTAATGCTTTTCATTCTGTGACCTAAATTAGGACTGTTATGCAGGCCCCAGAATGCCAGATTGTCTGCAAAGGGTTGTAACAGTGACATCGAGGGCACAAGCAACTTAGCTTATGATCTCTGTATTTGTAGTGTGGCTGTAAAGGATTTCTTCTTCAGCTAAAATTTTGTTAGAGAATTTCATAAATGGGAGTGCATCATGTTGGGAGAGGTTCCATGGGGTTTCCATTATTACTTGTGGAACTATCTTTTACTTATAAATGATGAGGATAAGCTGGTGAATCTTAAAGCCTGGTAGGGACAATTTAAAACTGGATCTCAACCACCCACCCTGTTTCCAATGCCTGTACATTGCCCCTTAGGTGTCTTGCTCCATTTGCCATTATTAATGTATTGCTCCACCTTCTTTTGCCACCTTTTAAACAGAGGGTGGTGTGTTCATCATTTAGTATAAGAACAATAATGTGGGCGATTGCATCATTTTAAAGATGCTATCCTAACCAATAAAGAGAGAAGTGTTTTTTTCCTATCTGTATACTTCTTTAATGCCTTTAATTAGCAGAAAATTTTCCATAATGTTGGTTGGTGGATGTCTAGGAATACTGTGTCTGACTATTGTGTACATGAATAAGAATGACAATAACACTGAACTAGCTTATATTTTTCATTTTTCATTTCAATATAGGTATATATAGGCAGTATGTATTAGAATAGAATTTAAACATGACATATACAGAGGGAGTCTGTCTCCTAAAGGGTACCACCCAATTATATTGGTAGACAAGGAAAGGAGGAAAAGCTTCTGAAAATTAATTTTTAAAAAGCCCATTATTGTGCAATGCACCCAGGTCATGACAGAATCCACTGTTTGAAAAACAATGGTCTAATTTAAATTTCAGTTCAATGAAATCAGTGGGAGTCATTCTTCTTTATATCAGTAGTAAAACAGTGCAGGTGTAAATGAGGAAATTTATTACAACTGGATTTGCCATGTATATAGGATAGTCTACTGTTAACATCTACAGTGTAAAATGTTTGTATATCATTTTATTACAAAGAATGCAAAAAAAATCTACAGTGTAAAATGTTTGTATATCATTTTATTTGAAATCCTATTTTTCCTGCTTTTGAAACAGTTTGTTTCTTGCCTTAATGCTGTCAGAATAAGCATTGATTGCAAAAAGATTAGTTATAAATTCAGAAGCAGAGAAATTTTGTCTGCAGACTAAACTCTTCAATTCCATGATCAGGTAAAAAGAGATGATTCTGGGGCAATACATGTTACAAAGCAGAAACAGCTACATCTGCACTATGATCTCATCAATTTTACTGTAAGTAATGTGATGGTATATTTAACTTTCAAGTAGGAAATGTTAATATTTTGAGGCTTTATAAAGTCTGCATCATTCACCTTTAAAGGGGTTTGTAACTCTCTGTGGAAGACAGTTTAAGGATCCTTATTTTCTCTTTTACACGTCTTGTTTGCTGATGAGCCTAAAGCATCAGATACATTTTTGCCAGTTTAATAGCATTCCTCGTGCTTCCACTCCACTTGACACTGGTATAGTCATTTCTTCTGATTGCTTTAGTTTATTCCAGAAGTAGAAAATTAATCCAAATTAACTATCCTTGAAAGGAAGTTTAGGGTGGAATAATTTGGCTGATCCAGAAAATCAAGTATAAAACCTGCATAAAAAAACGTTTCCTTGGCTCAAGTCTTTTCTTGTGCTTTTGGTCTTGGTGGTGATAATTGAACATTCCTGGGAAAATTACATGACCTTCATCTTTTCCTTGTGTGCAGTGAGACCAACCCATGTAATTAGTTATATATTGCCACTAGCTGCTAGGGTTTGAGAATTGTTATTTAGTACACTCCTGGCGCATTTTGACATATTCACTGATATTGCTTGTCAACTTTGCTTGGTTTCTAGTGGATAAACTCCCGTACCATTGTGCTTCTGGACAGTGTGGAAAAGCTGCATGTGATAGATCGTCAGACACAGGAGGAACTTGAGACTGTGGAGATCTCAGCTGTTCAGTTAGTTTATAACAGCAGCCACTTCAAATCACTTGCAACAGGAGGCAATGTCAGCCAAGCACTGGTACTGTCAAATGAAAACTCTACTGAGTTAACATTTTGCTTTAGAAACATTATTTTCTGAAACATGGTTTCAACTAAATAGGATCCTTTAAAAAAAACCTCTAGCTCTGTGCTTTGAATGATTAGTTTTTATTGTCTTTCTCTCTGTACAACAGCCTTCACCTGCCTGGTGTCCTCCAGATATTTTCAACAATTACTTAGACAGAATTCAACAGTTTAGAAGCCTTGACTGGGCTGCTGTCCAGAGGTGAGGTACAGCAGGTACCAATCCTGGTCATTGACCCAAAGAGGCTCCAAATAGGCTTTTTTTTCCACTTGGTTTGTCTTGACAGTTATCAAAAGACATGCTGTCAAGAGAGATCAAAGACACATGCGATCTTCACTTCCTTTGTAGCAGAACTTCCTCTTTGGTTTTTATTTTTTTTAGACTAGACTATCCATAGTTGAGCTCACTGTTCCAAGTTTTCCTAAGACTTTAGATGCTTGGGAACGTGGAAAATTGTGAACCACCTCATTTTTAAAGGAACCAGCATTTTGACAGAGAAATGTTATTTATCCTTGCCTATGTCCCTGTTTAAAAAAAAAAAAACCCTTGGGAGTCATACCAAACCCCTCCTTTAAAAGGAGCCAGAGTTTTGACAGTTAGCTGACAGCTCCTTTTAAAAGGGGGTGGTTTCCATTATTCTCTGTTTTCAAGCATCTGGGTTCTTGGGAACAACCAGAAAAGTTAGCTCACCTTTAGGACAGTCTAGTTTAACCCCCCCCAACCCACCGCCAAAAAAAAAAAAAAAAAAAACTAAGCTAAGCAGAGATCTTTCCATGAAGGGGATATAGCTCTAATCAGCAAATTGCAGATTTTGCAATGGCAATGAGCAGGTGTGTACAAACTTTCTTTTCTAACTGCAACCTTTATCAAAATACTTTAAAACTCTGCTGTCACTGCTTTATGCTTGTGCTCTCACCCTCTAATTGTGAAAAGAAAATAATTGTAGCTTATGCTTAGTATTTACTTCATGAGATGATGAAACATAGCAGCTACAGTTTTGTTCTCTTTCACTCATTTGGTAAACATGAACATACTTCAGATGTTCAAGTTTCTGCACTGCAAATTACAAGATAAATATATCTTATTTGAAAAATTCCCCCTACTTATACATTCCATCTCACTGTAACTGTTTGATTGTGTTAACCATTTTCTAGTACAGCACAGGGAACTATTAAGTGATTGAATGACCTGATTTGCCTTTACACTGAGAGCCAGTGTGGCGTAGTGGTTAAGAGCATGGGACTGGGACCCAGACGACCTGGGTTCGAGTCCCCACTCAGCCATGGAGCCAGCTGGGTGACTTTGGGCCAGTTACAGTCTCTCAGCCCAACCTACCTCACAGGGTTGTTGTTGTGGGGATAAGATGGAGGAGGAGAATGATGTAAGCTGCCTTGAGCCCTTTGTAGGAAAAAGGCAGGATCTAAATCCAAAAAAAAAAAAAAAAAATAATGAAAGTGACAAATTCAGGGCTAGAGAGAACTAGTGGGTTTTCTGGCTTGAGATAAATTTGCATTGCTCAGTATTTCTCCTTGCACAGATGCTGACTAATAAAAATGCTAGTGCTTTACCCCTTCACTAAATCAAAATGTACCATTTTCTACAGGCACTGGTCGGGGAGAAGGCTTGCTATCAGTCGATCAGCAACTGTGGTGGTCAAATCTTTTATTTAGGTACAAAGGTAAGTCTGGCTAAGTTATTTGTATCACTTGTTTCTGTTCTTTGTTAGACCTATTAATAAGACAATTCATCATCACTGCTTATAGGCACTTAAACATCAACCCTGTTGCTTACCCTTTTGCTTCTTTTGCTTTCAGTCTGTTCATGTGATGACACTGAGAAGCTGGAGAGAGGTATGTCATAAAAGAAGGCATGTGTTCAGTGAATTGCTTAGCTTCATAGCTTTATGAATAGAATGCAAGATTCACATTCTTAAATCTACAGATTATTGACAGAAAACATTGGTGTTTTTGCCAAAACAACATACTAAAGCATTTCTGTCTAAAGGGAGGCTCTGTTGTTTGCTTTCTGTTTATAACAAATGGTTTGGTTCATGATGCAGTGCAACATGCCTGCTGGACAGCCTTCTGCTAGTAAGAATATATCATGCTTTCGTATCATCAGTCTGCATTATTAAATGTTTTTCCAGAAGGACAGCTTGATGGCAAATAGTATGAATGTACTTTTACTGAACTGATGTTGCTGCTGCTTCTTTGCAGCTCAATGTACGTTCAGCTGATTTTCATATATGATTTTAGACAGTTTAATTTTAAGCCACTCTGAGAAATCTTGACAGAAAAGCTGGATAGGATGAATTTTTAAAAATAATATAAATCAGTCTTTGCTAACTGTGTGATCAGGCAGTGTCTTTGTCAAACTTGGCAAGTTGTTGATTGCTGTTTGATATGAGGGTGTCTGTCTAGATGTCATAATTCAAATCCTTTTCAAATTGCTATCTATGTGGACCTGGTATTTTTTGTGTGCATGAGTAAACTGAAATCAATTGTGCCCGCATGGGTTGGGTGGTGATAGTTATTCTTTATAGAGGTCCGCCTGGCGCCATCATTATATGCTTTCTGGCGCCAGGTCAAGACCTTTTTATTTAACCAATATTTTAACATAAAGTAATTTTAATTGTATTTAATTTATTTTAAATAGGTTAGTTTTATGCTCTGTTGTGGAATAGTTAATTTATTTTATTGAGGATTTGAAATAATGTTGTAAGCCATCCAGAAATGACAGTGATGGATGGCCTACAAATTTTCTAAATAAATAAAATTTATTTAAAAAAAATCCGTGTAAGCCACAATCATTTCTATTCTATGTTTAATCCTTAACTGTAGATTATTGGTGTGACTTGAATTGCATTTATCTGCATGTCTAGTATAATCTGTAACTATTGTTCCCCTTGTGCTTCTGACTTTAGAGAATAGATCACCTTCTGAAACAAGATTGCCTTAATGAAGCACTGGCTCTTGCTTGGTCTTTTCATGAAGGGAAAGCCAAGGCTGTTGTAGGCAAGTGTGTTTAAATATTGTATCTAAACAAATCAGCATGTAACCAGCTAAAAAACAAACACTGTTCAAACTGGTTGTGTTGTGTTTTAACCGCTTACACTGGGGTCAAAATCAGCAATGAAGCCTGATGATTTTAGACCCTGAACTTAATAGTTTTATACTCCCTTTGCCTTTAGATGACTGTGAGTTCAGAAGCACACAAATAACATTTCTCTTCTCCCCCAACTACCATTTCATGCTTTAATATTAATTCTGCATCCTTATAGTGTTGGCCAGCCCTAATTAAAAACAGTAGTGTTCTATAATGTGAAACTGCACATACTTGAGCTCACACAAACCGTAGCACCATTGTGACAACAGGAATAAAATGGAGTAAGCTGTCTTGCTGCCCTGATGCTAACACACACAGAAGAGCAAAATAATAAAATTAGCATTTGTAATTTTGAGCATGCCTAGTTCGCTGCTCCTTGGCTGTAAGATGATGTTAAAATTAGAAGAAATAGAGGATGCTGCACTGAGTAGCAAAAGCCCCGGTGCTGGCCCAGGTGTGGAGAGTGACCTGTTTTCCAGAGCCCCCACCACCTGCCAGCCTTGATTTGGGCACCCAGGGCTGTACCAAAGTCCAATCCAAGTTTGGCCTCTTGTCAAAATACACAATAACACAAATTTAAAGTAAGAACAAAAAGGATTGTAAGACAAATAGACATAGCAGTAGCTTTTTGCCTGCAAGGTTTCCTCATGAGTCTCATAGTAACTGTCTTGCTGGTTCCGACTAGCCCAAGTATTCTTAGCATGCTGTTCCCTGCAGGAAGGGGCCAGCCACATGCTTTTGGGTAGCCTACAAGCAGCGGGTGAGAGCAGAAGCCTCCTTTCCCCACTGTTTTCCTCCTGTCAACTAGCCTTTAGAGGCATATTCCTTCTCAGCATGGAGATTCCAGTTTGCCATCATGGCTTGTAGCCACCAATAACTCTATCCTCCATACACTCATCTAATTCCACTTTAGCATTCTGTAAGTCAGATCTTGGAAAAACCGTGCAATACCACCTTTGTTCTCAAAAGACATCATAGCACAAAAAGGAACATAAAAGACAGTGCCTAAACAAAAATGACAGATAATGTCATACCTGTGGAAACAGATAATAAGTAATGTAGAAGAATCACTGTGAACATATTTATCTGCTATCTGAACTTTAAATCTGAAGTGAAAATTGTATGACATTCCACTTTAAAGCCAATTAAGATGTGATATAAAATTTTAGAAAGACCCTTGGGCCTGTTACTCAACAGATGTACTTGTTACTGTGTTTGGAAATCGCTGGAAGGTTCTTTTAGAATGCATTTTGTAGGTGCAAGTGATAAATGAATGGTTCACAGTTCAAAGTAATTTATCATTAAAGTGCACAAGATAAGTAATCTAATAAGCAATAGCCAGCAGATCATCAAAGCAGTGGCTTATCATGCTGACAATGGTTAACTGTGCCAAGCTGGTGTGTTCTTCAGCACTGGTGTATAAGAAGCCTTGGTGTTCTGCACAATGTGTTTTTGTGTCATGTGAACCCAGGCTAATTCCCACAGGGTGGCTTGTTTGTTTGCAGACAAACCACTTTGACAGCCTATGGATTGTTGGAGACGTTATGGTTCCCATGATGAGATGTCGAGTCATCTGAATCCAGCCAACTAATCCCATAATGAGCAGCTGGGCCAGAGCAGCAAAGTTTCCGGTTAGCTCTTGCCTGTCTTGCTGTGGGTACCCTGCAGTGCTAGCCACCCCACACATCCCTAAGCCGTACTGGAGAGAGTCGGCACTGCTTTGCTGCCTTTACTGCCATTATCACAAGTGCTTTTTGTTGGGCTATCAGTAGCTGCCAAACGGGTATTACAGAAGCCAAGTGTCTTGATAATCTTTGGGAAAAAGAAGGATAATTAGACAAAAGCTGCAGCAAGCTAAATACAGCACATAATTGTTGCAGAGAAGGAGAGACAAGTTAGTCCTGTTGCAGGGAACCACTGGGTTACGTGTGAGACGATTGTGGGGGAAGGAGACAAACCGCCCATGGTGAGTCAAATCATTTCTTTGGTACACCGTGGGTTGTTCAACTAACTCACTCCAGCTTTGCTGACAGTGGGCTAGCATGCAATGCATTCACTGAGTTTGTGTGGTAGCTTTAAAAGATGCATTTTATGAGTAAAAAACACCTATCTCAATCAGGTTAGAAGTGGCAAATTCTTATTTTAGATTTGCTTGAGTAATATTATGCTTAATACTTTAAAATAGTAATATTGATATTAATGCTTATTAATATTCAATGCCTATATTGAATTCTTTCATATATGGGGTAGTTATGCTTTTCACACTGTCTTTTAGTTTTATTTTCAGATTGGAGTTTTTGTAGGTAGAACAGACAATAAAATTTTGTTTTAGATTATCAGAAGTGAGAAAAAGATTATGCTCTAATCTTGAAAAAAGTTTCATTTGCCTAAAGAACATCCATTAATGGGTGGTTTAGAAATGTAATAATAAATATTCTGTTTGTATCCCTTTTAACAGGATTGTCTGGGGATGAATGCAAACGGAAGGCTGTTGTTGCAGACAGAGTGAGTTTATCTTATCAGATGTTGAATTGCATTTTTTTATGGGAAGCATGAACAAAATGTTGTCTTTATTCAAATTGACACAGATATGTATATATGTGGGACTGAAAATGTAAAGTCAAAAGATTAAAAGCCAAATTTGCCATCCATGCAGACATAGCCTTAACAATTAACCATTATCCATATGGCTACAACTTTATAAATGATACAAATGAAGCTCTAAATTACCCAGTAATCATGCCAAACTATTCCTAATGTGAGAAAGTAGAATATCCTTCACTTATAAAGATCAGAACAGCTTTTGGCAGGTAGGGAGAATGACAGTGCTTTGTGATGACTTCTGTTTCATCTCCACCCCCCTACAATTGCTATAAAAACATAGTGTTATATTTGGAAACTCTCTAGGTCTATTTAAAAATTGGATATGTAGTAGCATTGGATTCCTATTTCAAAACTTAAAACTCCAGCAGTGCTACAACTCTTAAAAATAAAGTCATTATAGTTGCTCTAGGGGTGTTTGCAAAATATTACAGTGTTGTTACCAGTATTTTTTTGTGGTAGAACTGTGCACACACTCTGCAAGCAAACTGTGTGGGAAGGGCAGCAAAGTCAATTTGGGCACCTTGGTGTGATTCTGACAGTGTCTGGGGCTTTTTCTCCAATACCAGAAGAACCCTCCATTTTCCAAGCTAATCTGAGGGTTCTGAAAACAAACTCCTTCTCTCATTCTTGTTAGACCCCTCTAGCAGACACAGTGGGCTGTGCGCACTGGAGGTCCTGTACAAAAGTTTCAGAGACTGACTGCATTTGCCTTTGTAAGAAGATCCTTCAGAGCACTGAACTGCCATCACATGCAGCCATCCTACATGCCTGCAGAGGTAGAAAGAGGCAGTAGGGGCATATTGCCAAGTGAAATGAGAACCAAATCTCCAAGCGGGGGATTTTTAGGAGGCTGCATTCCCCATCTCTCAAATTTGCCTGTATAGCCCTTTTCTAATCTTTTGCATAGAACCTAATGGAGTTGCATTATATCGTTTAGGTCCTGGGGAGGAGTGGGAGTTAGATAAGAAGGGATTGGGCAAATCTGGGGGATGGAGCAAGGGTCCCCCATGAGAACTTATGAGTCTATTTCATCTAGTTTCATGATCATAAGGCTCTTCCCTGTACATTACAGACATTTCCTAGCCCTGCTAACTTTTCTTCCTTGCAGATGGTTGAAATCCTTATCCATTATGCTGATCGAACTATGAAGAAATGTCCTGAACATGGTAAAATCCAAATTATGGAGCAGCATTTTCAGGTACAATATTTCAGAGTGGTTTCTTTTATCTTTTCAAAACAGCTGTTGCTACTTAATTTCTTGCTGTTATTTCTGAACTTTAAGAATTATTTCAAAAGAAAAATCAAGCCTCTGAATCTTTTTTCCCCCCTACCTAGGGTACTGTTATGCTTTTCTTAGGCATCACATGATTTTGCTGGGGGAAATACAAGAGTTAAACCTCTCTGGCCTATAAAAATTCAGGAGAGAGCCCCAACAGTCTGTCTATCTTGGGATAACATGCAAGAAATAGCAGTTTCCCAATCTTTGAGCTGTATGTTACAACATAAAGCTCATCCTTCATTTTGGGATACAGGCCATAGTGATAATATGGTATCTAGCAGAACTTGTGAATTATTAGCAACATTTTCTGTGTCATCTTTCCACAGGATATGGTCCCTGTTATTGTTGATTACTGTCTTCTGCTTCTGCGGATGTAAGTGAGAATGTGACAGTCTACCAAATGAATTCAAGAGGTTTGCCATACCTAGTGCCTCAGGACTACAATTTATGCTAATCCTGCAGGCTGCCTTAACTGGGCACAGTAGTGTCTCAGAAGAAAAGTGAGATCATATAACCTACTGGCTTTAGGGGAAGCATCTCTGTATTTCCTGTCTGAGTATGAGCAAATGGCTTATATGTGCAATCACAAGTGACTGAATGGATGTTCTTGAGGAGTATTTTCTTTTTTTGGGTATGTTTAAAAATTCACTATAACTATCTCCAAACAGGCATTTGCAGTAATAAATCTTGTAATCCCTTGTCTTTTTTCTTCCAGGGATCTGTTGTTTAGCCAGATGTATGACAAGATGAGTGAAAATTCTGTGGCAAAGGGTGTCTTTCTGGAGTGTCTTGAACCATACATTTTAAGTGATAAATTGGTGGGAATCACGGCTCAAATTATGAAAGATTTGCTGCTGCACTTTCAAGATAAGAATTTAATGGCAAACATGGAGGCTTGTATTGTGCATATGGATATCACCAGCCTAGACATCCAACAGGTGATCATTTGTATCCTGCATTTTTTTTAATTTTTTGTGAACATCTCATTCTATTGCTTGTATTTATGGTCTTTACTTAATGGCTAACATGACATCTTTAAAGTTTATATGTTGCATTGTGCTGAATAGACTCAACTCTGTACCCCTGTATTTGGAAGCATTTTCTTAAACAAGTCATCTTAGGTCTTCTACCTTGATCCACTCCTTTACCCAGATTAATCTCAATTGGTAGTTTAGGCTGATTTGCGGTCATAATCAAATGATTAGTGTCTTATGAAGAACGGGGCCTCAGGATTTGTTACAATATGTATAGGCTTTAACCAATTATGATGGAAATGTTGTTGCAAAGAAGATGAAAGTTTTAAATAGGGTTAGAGGCCTTGGAGACGATCTTGTCCAGCCCCCTGCTCAGGGCATGAAAGCTAGAACATTCTCACCAGATTTCTGTCTTACCTTTGCTAAAATAGCCGCCTAGGAAGGCCTCGGCAGTTATGGGTGCCTATAAATACATGTTTAAACAAAATAACTAACCATTAACTGTCCCTGGAATAAGAAAAGCAATTTCAATTCTGTGTATAATTGAATATTGATGAATGAGTTCATATTTGCAGATAGAATGTGCACTTGGAAGCTACCTGCTCATACTGTTTAGCACATCTGAATGTCTCAAATCTTTTATTCTTAGGTTGTCCTCATGTGTTGGGAAAACCGTCTATATGATGCAATGATCTATGTCTATAATAGTGGAATGAATGACTTTATTACTCCAATGGAGGTAGGAAGATTGAACCATATACTGAGTATGCTCATCAGCAAATAAATCTCATTTGTTAGATGACACATTATAAAGCCTGAATATTTCTCAAGTTGTTAAATTCCACATTTTAATGGCAAATCCTATTTGTTCTGAACAAGTAGCTGTTACCTAATACCACAACCATGAGCTATTCGTTCTCTAAATGCAGAGCTGTTCTGAGCTCATGAATAATTTTCAAGCATTTGTCCTTTGACAAAGATGGAGCAGTCCTTGTTTCAGACCAATTAAATAACTATTCTGCATTTGACAATGACAATGAACAGAGTTTTATAACCCAGAACAACCTATTTAATAAGGAGGTAGCTGCTCATAAGATACATGACAATAATCAACATTTTGTTCAAATGAAGAACAAGCAGTCATTTTTTGTAACAACTGAAACATTTGCAAATGCAAGTATTGAATTAGATGCTAGAATGCAAACTGCTGTATAATGTCTTAATTGCTGCTGAAGCTACCAGCATAGTGCAATAAACAGATGTTATAGAATAGCCTTCTAAAAAGGACTCAAGGACATGAGGTTTTCTGATGTCACTTCCCAACAGCATAACATATTAAATCTTCCTTTTCTTGTCTCTTGTTACTTTTTGAGGAACTGTTTCAGTCTAGTAAGAGTCTCAGGTTCACACACACCCTTTCTCCTTGCTGAATTTCATCAGCCAGGGAAAATGGAATGAGGTGGCTGGGTTGTACTATGTTTATTTTGAACTACTTACTCAAAACTTTCCCCACTCACTTTCAGGAATAGATTCTGTGTTCAAGCAGACAGAACATTTGTTTGCTTATCAGTTTGTCAGTGGATGGGGTGATCCCGTATGCATTCAAAACAAAAGCAGCCTATTGAGATTTCTGCCTAGAAAGTAGCAAGTAAACAGCGTGTACAGAGAACCTATAATTAAGATTGCTTCCTTTTATTCTTCTTTGTTTGTTGTGGTTCTTGTCTGATGAATTGTTTGAAACTATGTGAGCACAGATGATACCATTGCAGATTTTACTTTCATTGTTCGGGCAGATTATAGGACTAATAGAATGCTGATAATGTGGTATGACTCAACTAAATTCTACCACTCTTGGCAGCAGGGCAGAGAGTTCAGTATTAAACTATAGCCTGCAGAAGAGTTTTGAGAGAAAATCCAGGTAAAAGTAGAGACATGTCAATAATGCCAGCTACTGATACGTAAGTGCATTGACATTTTGTTACAGGCAAAATGTAACCCAAAAATACAATAACACCATTGCTAAGTTCATTATTTCCTCTCTGGGTAGAAAATAAGTGGCATGAAAGTTTATATAGTGTTAATTATACTTATTCACCAATTGAATTTCATATAGATTGGGGCTAGGCAACTTTGGGCAGTCTTGGAGTTGGTTTCCCCCTGAGACCCTCAGAGCAGGGTGTCAGGAATCAACAGGTTATGCAGTTTACTGTGTTCAAGATAAGTTTGTCTTCAGTTAGTTTCTGCACTGGTGTGCTGACAAATTTCAATGACAATTTAAAAAAAAAAGAATCTGGCATTTGGGGTATCAGGACAATGGGAATTTCACTGGACTGCATCTAATTTAGATGAATGTTCCTGGTACCAAATCACTCTTCACATAAGTATGTTATTTCAGTGATGGTAAGCTACCTGTGTGTGTGAACTGATAGTTTAATCAACACTTTCCTGCCTGTAAATTAATACTTAAACTGTCCTAAATTACAGCAGCAACTACTACAGCATGGGAGAGTCTCTATGAGCCGATTTTCCGATAAGCCCTAGACGTATGGCTGGCAACAAAGGGCCACTTCATATATTTTTATTTTATTTATTTTATTAAAACATTTTTATGCCGCCCCATTCGCCGAAGCCTCGGGGCGGCTTACAACAATAAATTAAATAATTATAATCATAAATTAAAAATGTAAACATTAGAATAAAATACAAACATACAATATAAAATAAGCCACCCTGGCCAGATAAAATTCAATAATATTAACATTTAAAATGCTGCTTAAATAAAAAGGTCTTCGCCTGGCGCCGAAAAACAAATAATATAATGCACTTTTCCTTTACAAAGTAATTTCTGTGCTAAAAATTGCATGAAACCCACCTCATTCCATAAGATACTGTGCTTGTGAACATGGGGTGTGCACCTGTTGGAATTGATTTTCAGTTGGAGAGTGTGTTAGATCTACATGCCCTGCTGCAGGCTAGATGATAGCTTTCCTGGTTTTTACCTTTCGTATATTGGAAACAGCTCCCACACCAGTCCTTGCATTTAATTGGAATATCTTGCTCTGTCAGATATGACTCTGCATAGGCAACAGCATGGAACAGGGGAGGAGAGCTTCCTTCCCCATGGCCAGAATTGGGTAGGGAAGAGTTAGCCTTTCAGCTTGAAACCAACTAATTTCTTACTGGTCCCCCTTGAGGATTTCAGTGCAGCTTATTTAGTGTTGCCACATGCTGCTCTTGCATCTAGCTGGAAGACAAATAGGGTGTTGCCTTTCCCGTAAAAGAAAGAGGCTGACAAGCAGCATGTAGCAATCTTCGTAGGCTAAGCTGCAATCCTCAGATACAAACTGTGATTCCTCCTATATAATGGCCTGCTTGTAAGATTCTGAATGTTTTCCGCATGGAGGAGACTCTCCCTTGTATGGAGATACCTCTTATGTGAAATGGTTCCTTCAATGTGATTCTTCAGTGCTAATGTTATTTGCAACATTTCAAATAAAAATATCCAAAGTAGAAGCACCTCTTTACACCGTAGCTGCACTCTCTATACCAGCCTTCTCCAACCTGCAGCCCTCCAAAATATTGGTCCACAATTACCATAATCCCCAACTAGCAAGACCTTTGGTTCAACATAACTGGGGGCCACCAGGTTGGAGAAGGCTGCTCTGTGTTGGCTAAATGTGCTCTTTTGGAGGTCTGTCTGTCTTTTTGAAGGCTTTCTATATTATTGCCAAACCCATTGGTATACATATTTTATAGTCCGCACTGTCAAGAATTAAAACCCATAAAAATGGCAACTTCTATCTTAACTTTTTGCATTTCTCCCTCTCCGTTCAACTTTATTTCAGAAATTGTTCAAGGTCATTGCTCATCCACTCAGTGCTGGAAAGTCTCTCTCAGGTATACAATGTTTGATAAGTACTTTTATTGTTTTTTTCTGCTGCAGTGACATTTTGAAACCTTTCAATCCATTTTTGGATGGTTACTTGATGTGTAGTATTTGATAGGTTGTCCTCCCCAATTTAAGACTCTCAGTACATCAAAGATAATACAAAGCCTCTTTTTTAATTTTCTTAGATGAGCAAGTCATTATGGGCAACAAACTTCTTGTCTATATAAGGTATGATGCTTCCAGAATTTGATATAGTTAATTGTGTTGCACTTTCTGTAGCAATATAATCCAGCAGCCTGGTAAATGTGAGCAAAGAAATCCACTGGCCCTGTCAATATCCCTAGAAGCTTGTGATTATATAACATTAAGCATAATTTGGTTGGGGTCCTATCAGTAGAAAAAACAGCACTGTAAAAACTAAGAAGTCACATAGTCATTATGGCAACACTGCTCACGTACACTAACCACAGGAAAATTGTCCATCAGGTAGCTTGCAAAGGTTCTGATAATCAGTTGAACAAGCCAAGTGCCATCCTTGTGGCTGTTTGTGAGCAGAGTCCTGAGAAAACATTTCTGTCAGGTTTCTGAGAAGGCAAGTGGTAGCCATCTATATTAGAACGCATGTCACATTGGAAACTGCCCTGAGTGTACTTGGTAAGCATAGAATGCTGAATTACTGTTGGGGGATACAGTACAATGGAATATTCTGTTCTACAGTAGAATAGAGTTCCCCTTTTATGGAGTAGGTGCCTAGGCAAAGAAGGAACCCTTTCCAAGTATGCTTCGGCTTGTATAGTGCATGGGTTGTTCTTTGTAGCACTGTCTTTATTCGCATGTAGTGTCAATGCATGCTGTTTAACCAATGCTATGATTTGGTGGGGTGAGGTGCTCAGTTGCTTCTGTGCAGCCCTGACTAACTGTGGGTTGCTGAAGCCATAGTTAGTTGCTGCATGTGAACCAGGTTGGATGTTGTGATGTGTTTCTTTTTTTGTCTTTGCAGTTGCTGTTTGGCAGGTCGAGCTTATCCACTGGGCAATATCCCTGAAGATCTGGTACCCTTGGTAAAAAACCAGGTGGGTCTAAAAATATGCTGCAAAATTCATCTGGAATTTTTTCATTTTTAGAAGTGTGCTTCTAAAGTGTGAAAAATAAGCATATTTTCTGAAAGCCATAATTTTCTGTGGATCTCTCTTTGCTCCTTCACTTGTATAGTAACCACCCACTCTAGCCATGGTTGCCACAGCAATATTCCAAGGTTTTCTGATCTCGGCATCAAGGACTACTGATCCATATTTCAGAGTCTTGCCATATAGAAAACAATACGACACAAGTGTGACTCAAAACGCAATGCTTCAGAAAGCAAAGAGCATGAACAACAGCAAAATGGGCAGTGCAGGGAGGGGGCGTAATTTCACCTCCTTGCATCCTATTTGTGTCTTATTCTTTCTCAGAGATGGTGCGTAGACCTTACATCTATTAATGCTGACACATGACCCCATCATGGATACTGATTTCTCTAAAGAATATAACAGTGTGATAGGAATGATGAGTCTCTTGCAGTTAGCAGTTACTTTGCAGATATCTGATAAGAAGTTGCTATCTCTGGCTAACAGTAGCTTTTTGATTGTCTGCTTTTGTGATTGCCCCAGAGCAATACAGAATTCATATATAGGCTCTCCCCCTTCCACCCCTGCCCCCACTGCCTATCTGTTGAGAGTTGGCTGGATGCTTTGCTGTGTCTTTGTTCTCTTTTTGTTCATTATGGGTAACATTAGAACCTAGAGGTGAATTTATTTGGTATGTCCACCAAGGATTTATGCTAAATTATATGCCTAACAAGTAATGCAACGCTTTACAAAGTAATATAAGCAAATGGAGGTCTCTACAAAACCTGATTTTGGATTTAGATACAAGATAGATGTGTAGAATGTGACAAAGGGTGAGGAAGATGAAACAAGGGTAAGGGGATACATTTGTGAAGATGCAGTTGCATGTGCTCAAACTCTGTTACAGTTTGGAAGGAGGACTTACACATTCATATTTCTGCACCTATTTGCAGGCCTCACCTAAAAGTAACTGGGGAGTTCAAGGACACTTAAGTAATACAGATCATATCCCTGTTCATGAAATGATTTCTTACCTTTGTTTTCAAATACGCTAGTCAGTATCCTACACATGGACATCACCAGACGGTTAACACAGAAATCAAATTGACTATGTGCTCTGCAGCCAAAGATGCAGAAGCTGTATACAGTCAATAAAAACTAGACCAGGAGCTGACTGTGACTCAGATCATGAGCTTCTTGTTTTGTAAGCCGCCCCGAGGCTTTGGCGAATGGGGCGCCATAGAAATTTTAAAATAAATAAATAAATGAATGAATAAAATTTAGGCTTAAATTGAAGAAAGTAGGGAAAAGCACTAGGCCACTCAGGTATGACCTAAATCACATCCCTGATGAATATACAGTAGAGGTGACAAATAGATTTAAGGAATTAGATCTGATAGACAGAGTGCCTGAAGAACTATGGGCGGAGGTTCGCAAGATTGTACAAGAGGTAGCAACTAAAACCATCCCTAAGAAAAAGAAATGCAAGAAAGCAAAATGGCTGACTGAGGAAGCTTTACAAATAGCTGAGGAAAGAAGGGAAGCAAAAGGCAAGGGAGAAAGAGAAAGATACACCCAATTGAATGCAGAATTCCAAAGAATAGCTAGAAGAGATAAGAATGCCTTCTTAAATGAACAGTGCAAAGAAATAGAAGAAA